ATGCACTAAATTGCATGATGAAGTTGGATGTGCTGCCAGACTGCCTAGTCTTTGAGATAATCTGGTCTTCCTCAGAATTAATTTTCTCGCAATGTTTTGCACACAAACGCAGAAGGCAGTAACTCACTGCTGGCCTGGGCAGTAGCTGAGGAAGAGTTTGATCACACTGAATTCTGCTGCTGCTGTTGCTGGCATAGGCCTATTTATGCAAAGCTGGATGAACATCCAGCTTTCTTATGACATTGAATCACACAAGAAAAAAAGTCACCATTTTTACATGAAGTAGCTTGGAAAAATGGCATATGCTAAAATGACAGGTCAACGACCTCAACACTGGAGAAGAAGGGCTTTCCCAAGCAGAGCCTGGCATGGTGCTGCTGGCCACAGCAGCCTTTGAGAGCATCCTGCACCCCTGAGTCAGGGTGGGGAGAAGAGGCGGAGTTTCACTAAGTGCACCGCCAGCACTCAGTCTCAAGCAAAGGGCTTGGGTCATTACAGCCTCTCTGAAGGGTAACTGGGCTCTGGAATAGTCTTATTCACTAGTCTGATCCTTTTTAATGCTGGTTTTTGTCTTTTGGAATCTGGATATTTTAATAAGGATTTGGCAGCTGCCACTTTAGTGCTGCTCGTGCAGGAATTCAGGGCTGACAGCTCTGGGCTCTGTCCCTTAACATGTAGGCACCTTCCTCGCTCACTGCTCAAATTCCCTCCAGGCTGCACATTTTTTCACACCTTATACCAAATCATGTTTTTGCTTTGAACCAGGAAGCATGGGAAATTATCTTTTTTTTTCTTCCCCTCACAGCTAATGGCAACTATAATACAGGAAGAAATAATAGAAAGTTGAGAAACAGAAGGAGCTGGGGAGGGGGGAGGCAAGTGTCTAAAGAAGCAGACGGAGTTGGGGGGGAACCCCTGGATCTATCAAATAAATAGAGCAGAAATCTTTCTTGCTTGGCCTTTGTGGTGTTATTATTAGAACAACCACGCCTGAGTGCACTAAAGCCACACAACCTTCAAGCATCCACATCCAACTCTGCTACGGCAGGATCCTTTTTCTGCTTTGCTAAAGGAAGAAGACAGAGTAAAGGAGAGGATGTGAAGAAGAGAAGGGTCTATAAATGATAAAAATGATCAACTTTGATAAAGCAGCTGTTTGGAAACCTTCAAAAATCTTCTCATGAGAGCAGTCATTAATGTATGTCTGTTTGACACTGGTTGTTAGGAAACCAGCCAACATTAATGGATCCACAGAATGTAATGGAGAATCCATTTAAATGGTCTCTTGTCATTTTGTCATCCCACAAGACAAAAAAAACCAATTACTTTAACTCAGGAATGAAATGAAATGATAGTTTATATGATTCACTTGTATAGTCTAAAGTGATCAAAGCGCACACTAAAAATATATTAACAGTCTATATCTGATGCTTGAAATGTAGCATTTCCTATATCTGTATTGGCCTTTTTTCTTATTCACTGTGGTATCTAGCTGCTAATCATTTAAAGACTGTGGCTTTACAGTTTCTGTATTGCTTTATTTATTATGCATCTTATGATGATGCTGAGGGGCTACAGTCACGCGCAGGCTCAGCATTGCAAAAACAGCCTGCAGTGTAAAACACCAAGTAAAGGAAGTGCTGGCTGGAAGAGATACCTTATCCTCATTTCACAGAACAGAGGCATAGGGAGTGTTAATATTTAACGCTGGCTCTTAGCAGAAACATATGGCTAAACTTTGACTGCATATTTCTTCTAGATCTCAGCCCAGTGGTCTTTGTCTGCTGGATTACCCCGCCACAGGGTTGGCTTTTTTCTTTTACTGGAAGTAAGAGATTCAACCCTGTGCAGAAAATTAGATGTTCAGTGGTCCTGAAAGCTCACAGTCCACTCCTGTGGTTGCAGCCTCTGGCTTCAGCTTGCAGCAATGGTGCCCAGCTCCCAGGGGCAAACAGCGAAGGCCAGACGAAATGTCATTGCAGAAGCACAAGCAATTTGCAAAGGACATGGAAGGACATGTGCAAAGGACAATGTGCAAGGAATGAAACAAAAGCAGGTCCCTTTTTTGGCAGACTCTCACTCACTTGTTAGCTTTTTTCCTCTTTCCCCTTTCCAGGAGTCTTTTTCAGAGCTTTGCTGCTCTGAGTTTGGGATGCTGTTCCTCAAACATCCAGCCTAATTGCATTCGTTGTGGGTTTATACTTATTTGTCCTTGGGCCAGCATTGTCCTCTACCCTACCAATGCTGCTCCCTCCCTCTGAGCTTCATCCCTACTGCAGGCTGAGAACATTCATCTCCTTGCAGCTTGTTTTTGCCAGCACTTTTAGTTTCTATTCTGGACCTCCTAGAAAATCCGCTACAGCTTTTGAGTATTTTACAGGATTGTTCAGTTCAGTGAGTATTGTGCAATACTTCTGCTTTCTTGGTGTCAGGGGGCATATTCCCTGATACTGTGAATCAGAGATATGGACAGGCACTGGCTGGGCTGTAGCACAGGGTACTGTAAGCTTCTTATTTGAAGATAAGCAATATATTTGTGCTTTATTTTTCTTCTGGAACAGCACTATGCACAGCTCTGCCTGGTTTGCTGGCTAAGGGAGACTTGTTGGGTGGCTAAGAGGTTATGCTATTTTATCTGTGAACAGCAATGTGTGTCTACAACAGGAAATAGGTAGCAGAATTGTATGTATACTAACCCAACTCCTACTTTATATGTCAAACACTGTTGCCAAAGTCAGAAGAGCTTTCTACAAGCTAAATTTTGCAGAAAAATCTATTCTAGTCTGATGAAATGTCTGAACATTTCATAAGTAGGTAAAACTTTCCACTCACCTACTGATATCCATCACAGGCAACTACTAGTGCTTCAGTCTAGACAGATTTTTCTAGGAGTAGGAAGGAACTGCTTGTGCCGGTCGTTTCATTAGCCTCCAGGGTACAATTTGTGATCATGAATATCACATGCCCTCAGCAACAAAAAAAATGGGTGGGGTATCATCACTATTGCTTACAAATTTTTGTCTTGACTTGAGATTCCCAAGGAGGCAGTGTGGCTCAGAACAGGATCAGGGCAAGTTGCTTTGTGTCTCAGTCCTTTGTATGTAAAACAGACATAGTGCTTCGTAATGGATAAAGGAGATACAAAATCAGCTCATGTGAGTGAGGTATTTCCTTACTACAGTGGTGACAGACAGACAAGCCATCAAAAGCTCTGCCCGCAATTTGGGAACATTATGTTATTACAATGTCAATAATTTCATTAGTAAATCCTCTTGATAAACAAACACTGGCAGGTTGCCGTCATTCATCCTACAACCTCCCTCCACTATCAATCAGTTTTTTCTCCCCTGGTACCATCCTTTGCACTGACTTCATAGCCAGTTGCATGGAACAGCACTGCAAACGTGCTGTAAATTGAGTGAAACCCCACCTGCAAAAATCCACTGAGAAGCAAATAAAGGGTGCCTATTGGACAGAGAGTTTGGGGTCCCTTCAGTGTCGCTGAAGCTCTGGGAACCTGCACTCCAGCAGGTCTCTCATCATATTATACCACCACTTCCATCATGACACCTACAAAGTTCTGTGAACTGGGGGTTTTTTCTAATCAAAGAAACTGATACAGTCTGTCATCATCCCACACATGGCAGCATGGTTCTTAGGTTTCTCCTCTTCTGTCTGCTCCCTCCTTCTTCTTCTCCTGCTGCACTTTTCCAGTTCCTTTCTCTTTACAAAGCACTGGTATGCCTTCAGTCTCAGTGAATATTGTTTTGCATTAAAGAAAGCAACAAAACCAGAAAGAGCAAAGCATGTCCACCAGAGAGCTGTTCTTTGACATGATGCACCGGCTACCCCTCAAAAAAAGGGCAAGAGAGTGCAAAACCACAAAAAGTAGATGACTTTTTGTCAGGAGAGGAGTGTGTGGCCAGTGAGGGGACCAACCCAAGGTGTGCTGGTTCTTTGGCTCCTGATTGGTAAGGGAACCCCAGGAGGTTCCTTCACTACCCTTCCTCCCATGCATGAGGCTAGCCCACCTGTGTTACACTGTGTTGTCCTGTGAGCAAAACACTTGCAGCATCTCCTTGGCATTAGAAGAGAGGATGACTAGAGAGACTGTATGTATTGCCTGTGGTAGAAGGATCAAGCCCAGTGCTATACCTGACCATATGCCATGTGGTCTGCTGCATTACATGGGCTGGGGATGAGCCTGCTCCCTGTGGCTGGCTGGGGCAGAGTGCTGGCATCTCCCATGGCCCTCTGCTCCTGCTTTGACCCGTGGAAAGCTATCTGCTGTGTACACTGAGGTTGGGCACATCTCCCAAGAGTACCGGCACTCCTGAGAAATTCTCTCAAACCTTTAGTGGACTTGATTCATATAACTTTCAGAGGCAGACTTCTGGGATTTCTCTTTAGAGGAATTGAAGAGTTCCTGTCCCTCAGAAGTCCCTGTCTGTTAAGGGAACCTCTGTTGATAGGTGACAGTTAAAGTCGCTCAGCAGGGCGGGCAGTGAATCTCAGCTGTTACGCCCTGGAAGGCAGCGAGGTAGCAGCCTGTGTCAGAAACTAGTTGGGCATAACAGGATGTAGTGAAAGAGCATATTGGCAGGAGAATGGGTAAATGGAAGACCTATTCTTCCCACTGCACTTGCTCAAAATGTCACTGTGGAAATGTTGCGTAGCTTCTTTGTGTTTTCGTTTTGCTGTCTATAAAATTATTATCCCTTTGGTCCATATATTTAACACCAATACAGTATCATTTCACCTGCTTGCCTCCACAAAGACATTTGCAATATGGCAAAAGGCCATTGTCTAAATGCTAAGTGGTATAACATGACAACACAAAGAAGATAATGGTCACTGCTGTTTGATGGGAGGAGAGGTGCTGTAACAACCCCAGTGCTTGTTCTTGACAATGCTATTCCAAGCAAGAACCTTTGCTTTTCAGATAGGTTGATGTAAGAGAGACTAGAAGGCTTATCTTGTACTCTGTTTTTATCCTACAGCTGTCTCCAACCTTGATGCAGAGAGCAAACTGAGTGTCTATTACCGAGCACCTTGGCATCAGCAAAGAAATATCTTTCTCCCCTCCACCAGACCGCCTTGCGTGGAGGAGTTGCACCATCACGCCAAGCAGCACCTGCGAGCCTTGCGCAGAGGTAGGTGCTCACACACTCTCCGACTCCAGGCACGTAACACATCTCCATCGTCCATTCCAGGCAGCAGAAGGGTGCTCAGGCACAAGGACACAGAACTGTGGGCACTGGTCTCCACTGGGTCTTAGGTACTCAGGCTAAGAAATCATAGGACCATGGGATCATAGAATGGTTTGGGTTGGAAGGGACCTTAAAGATCATCCAGTTCCAACCCCTCTTCCCAAGGGCTGAAACTGGAGTCCAGCAGTATTACAGAGTCTTCACAAAAACTGAGCTGTCTGCTCAGGGTTTCCAAGCATGATACTGGAGGATACCTGTGTCCTTCAGAGGTGGCAGCTGAAAGCCAGGTGGACAGCTTGGAAAAGTTGGGCAGGTGTCCTGTTCCCAGAACAGGGAACACTTCCTGACATCGCCTAACAAACTGGAGAGCTATAGCCTCAAAACCGAATCATGCACCACAGAGAGGAAGCAGGAGCAATCAGGCTCATAATCAGGCTCCTGCATCCTTGCCATAAAGGGATTTTACTATATGCAAACATCGAGATGGTCCTACAGCAGGACTACAAGAAGGCAAAAGATGGGAAAAGATCAGTTTTCACTGGGAACCTAACCAAGGGAAAATTCTTTCCAGGACGCAAGTCAAAGCAAGCAAACAAGCCTGTCTTTCTTCTGTGCCATAAGGAAGGAGAAAATCCATGCAGGTCACCCTTAAAATGTTCAGCAGCAGCCTCCTGTGTTGGAAGTGTTTTGCACCAACAGCTCTAATTGCCTTGCTCATTTATTATTGTTATTAGCTTATAATAATAATCGATTACTTAGATCTGCAAAGCATCTGTTATCTGGATAAAATGTTCCAATTAATTACCACATTCGACTGTCTCTGCAGATTTCAGCTCAAGAACACACTGTGGGTGCAGTATGTCTTCATAGCACTGCAGAGAACGATATAGCCAAACTGCAACCACAGTAGTGCTGGAGTAGAGCAGAAATTCTTTTCTGCTCTCAGCAGCTCTGCTTTGCAATTGTCCCACGACCAGGCTGATCTCTGCCTGCCATCTTGTGGGCAGGAGAAATTCTGACAGCAGCACAGGAAGGCAGCTGTCAGAAAATGTCTCATCATTTTAAAGGTACAAATCTCAGTTTTGGCAACTTCCCATCCTGCACATTTAACAGAAGCTGTGCAGGTTGAGCAAGCAGCTTTTCGTGTGCTGCTTTATCATATTTTCCAAATAACTGCATGTATGGGAATGAAATTATAATCTGAAATTTACCCTAAACATGTTTATTGTGTCTCAACACAGAATTTCATTATCTCTTTATCTGTTTAACCAGGAGCAATTAAAACTAAACATTAGGTCATAAAACAGCTATGCTAGCAGCAAACATTGTTGGCTGGACATTAGCTATGTGTATCAGGTGAATATATTATCTCCTTCCAGCAGCACACCAGGCAAACAGCACTTGTCTGCTGACACCTAAAGTTAGAGATGAGAAGTCCATGAGCATTGCCCTATTCGCTTGGAAGGTTTCAGGAACTTAGAACTGATGCTGGAAGAGGACTGGATATTGTGTGCCCATGGTGAAGGGAAACTCCTGTGGGCCTGTGGTGGAGATATCTTGACTTTTCCGGGATGATGTCCTTCATGATGGAACACAGTCCTGCCTCTGCAACAACTTTCATGATGTCGAGTCTGCTCAGAATCTAGCACTGCCATGCAGCCAGGGAAGAAAATCATATCTGGGGCTGTGTTTCTTTCTTTCTTCTCAGAGGGGCATATTTTATATGGGTAGAGTGCAAGCATTATTGCATCTCAACATTTCAAGGCAATAGGAGCTGCAGGTTCCCATTGGGAATGAGGCTTTGGGTCCCTAGTGCCTAGGAGGTAGCTCCTTTGTCACTTTGGATAAAGAGTATAAATCTCATTTGGGGACAACTCAGCTTCAGTGAACATGCTGGGGTGTGTTGTATGGACATTGTGCTTCTGGGCACATGGATGTCCAGTAACTGCTTGTCCCCTTCAGTTGCAACAGGGATCATACATACCAGTCAGTAGGGAAGAGGAGAACCTTCATCTTTGGAATCCACTGTCCTGTTCCTGTCTCTGTTGTGCTGTTAATAGAGATATTTGTATGTTTTTAACACTCTGAAAGACTCATGTCTTCTTTCTCATCCAAAACAGAACATCGAAGCCGAGGTGATAACAGAGAGCAAAAAGTCCAAGGCCCCATTGCTGTGGTGGCTCCCCCCTTTCCTCCCTTCCCTGCAATTTGCAGTCAAAAGAGGCAAGCAATAAAGGACCGGCACTTGCTACCAGTAAGTCTTTCACTACAGCTATCACACACAAACACGTTATTAGCATGGTGGGACATAAGTATGACAGTGTTTCACAAGTGCCCCCTCCCCAAGCCTGTGCAGGTACAACACAGCTGACCTTAAAGACTATCAGCAGCGCAACTCAGGCCACAGCTTCCAGCAGCCAGCCCCAGGATGGCCATTTCCATTGAGAAACCTCTTTTTTTCACCCATGGTCAGCAGACATACGCTCTCATTCACACACTCCTCCACGGTTCTTCACATTCTCCACTCGTGCTTTATAGGTAGCACTTTGAGGACCCTCCTGTAATTTCAGGAAGTGCTGTAATTTCATCCCTGGCATTAGCATTTCCAGGAGCCAAGAACTCAAGGTCTTTGAGTGCTGGCTTGAGGCTTGTGTGTATGCAGATAGGTTCAGCAGCACATCTCCTGCTACAAGGAGCTACACTTTCTTTGTATGTGTGGGCAATAGCCCTGTTCTGCAGTGTCCATCTCCATGCAGTTTTTGCAGATGCTTCATGTCTCACACGTGTCCTTCCAGCCAGCCAAGCGGGAAGTCCAGCTGAAGATCTGGTCCTGTATGTCTGTGCTGACTTGCCACACTGCTGCACTAATTTGAAATCAAATTAGTGTTGATAATATGGTATTTATCATTGTAAAGGAAATGTGTCAGATCCACGACTTTGACTGGGTCCGTAACTCCCATTGGCCTCAACTGGACTTTGGTACTTCTGTGACTCTGGGTGTTTGACCCACAAAAGCACATTTTGCCCTGTGCTAAGAACCATTGTATTGGTTAAATTCCACAAGTCAGACCTGGATTTGACTTTTAAGTGATACATTTGTCTAATGCCAGGCCTCAGTGGGATAGGGATAGATCTGTCCTGCATGTGCCAGTACAGAGACATTGGCATCTCCAGAGATGTAAGCACATTATAAGCATGTAGCTACGAAATCATCACTTACATAGCTTTAAAAGTCCAAGTACATTCATCCTAATCCACTATATTAACCATATTTAAATACTGTAATGATAAAGGAGTCACAGTGTAGAGGAGTCAATGTAAAGCAATCACAGCTGCCCATGGGCCAAAACATCAGCTAATCAGGCCATAGGAAAAGTTTTGTTTCTCGTTTAAAAGCATGAAATGCATGATAAGGTTTTGATTAGTTTGACTATTCTGGCTTTATGACTGCTTATCTGGATAATTTTGAGGAAAGGATCACCATCACTGCAGGCTTTGAACTGGTTAGATTTGCAGGCCTCATTAATCAACTGAAAGAAGATATCCTGATATTAAGGGACAGCATAGAAAAGAGTTAGAAGACAGGAAGGAGAAACAGACTTACCTATTTCTGAGCCATCATCAAAGCTATTGATGTTGTAGGGTCATTAAAAGGTAAAGGGGAGGCGATGCCATGTTATGGATCAGAACCAGTTACAGATAAGAATTTAGACAGTCTGTTGAACATAAAGGTCTCAGTATCAGATGGAGAATGAGGCATCTCTTTTGAAATTACACACGCAGTGATGAAAGGCCAGAATCTTTGCTGTGTTTGGAAAACAACTGGTGTGTTTCAGACATTATTTCCATCTGTGGACCACAAAATAATAACAAATAGTGAGAGCAACCCTCTAAGTCCTGTATTAGTTGGCAAAATTAGGTCATGCTGAATGCAGATGTCTTGGTTTTATCAGAAAGTCCACCTTTTTCCTTTAAAGAAGGAAAATATTAAGCTTTGTGCCCATCCATATTGGACTTTTTTTGGAAGCTAACCAGGTTCAGTATTCCCCTAAGGAGAAGCAAACGAGCTGCTTGGAGGGCTGTTGTTCTATCGATTTCAAGGCATCTGGCAATGTTCTGCTTTGGTAATTGCAAATACGTCAAGGCCAGAGTACTTCAAAGTGCCTTGAGCCATTTCTGAGAAAACTCCTTGTTCATGAGGCAACTTAAAAATTAAAGAGAATAAGACAAGATGAAGCTGCACATGAATGCTCTGTCTGGCAGAAGGCTAATCAGAGATTTTTACAAGACACTGCAACAATGAATAGCTAATTGATATTGCGCCAGCCTTCATGATTTAATGATACCATTACAAGAGAAAGTTGAGAATGCTGTTATTGCCTAGCTCACCCTTTTTGGCACAAGCTTTTTGACATCTGCAAAAGTGTATCTGCTTCAGAGATTGTTGGTAATGTTTGATATCTGATTCCAGTTGATTGTATCATCTAGACATCAATGAACTAAAGATGTTAAATGTACAAGAATGTTTATTCATAGAGTAGCAGTCTGTTGTGTATTGCTTCTTATGCATTGGAAAGGTGCTGAAGGAAGCAATACTAAACAACAAAAACCCCTTTTTGTGTTTCTTCTAAATTAGGAAGGGATCAACAGGAAGCTGGGAAATTTTTAAAAGTTACAGATCTGACTTTTCCAAACTGAGTATCTAAGTTTAATGCATGTATTACAGTATTGAAATAAGAAACTCGATTTTGAGAAATGTTCAAATTACTACTGTGAGACCTGTGAAAACTGTCGCTACTGAAAGCTACTGAAAAAACAGGTCACCTATATCTAAGAACAGTCAAGATTTCCATATTTGTACCTTCTGGCTGCTGTTTTTATTGCTACCAATTAGGTGGCTATGAACTCTTCCAAAGATCTTGCATATTTTATGATAAATCTAGAGAAAATCAGTCACAACAGATGAAGATTAGCTTTTAAGTGCAACTACGTTTACAAGGAGGAAGATGTCAAAGTACCACAAATTCCAAACAAGGCTAAATGAATTCAAGTCCAAAGAAAGTAGTGCCAGCCTAAATGGGTCCGGAGGGATGTTTTGGACTGTTCCATTACAAGGTTATTTTGTTTTGGAGAAGGAGTAGAGAACTAGAAATGGCATAGGCTCTTTTGTGTCTACTCTTGTTACAGGAAATGCCCTGATTTGTCTCTTGAAAGGTTCACTTAGCCCCAAGGCCAGAAGGGAATCCTTCAAGAAAGAGCATAAGAACAGGGCATGGTTTATGCTGTTTATTGTCCCATAATTTATCCTTACAGTTTCATATAGAAAACAGTTACAGAGTTCCTGAGCCAGAGAGCAAATACAGAATAATAGCCACCAAGTAACCTGCCTGTTGACTTTGAGATTTGTTTAGTCCGGTTTTTTTAGTAAATTTACATCTTTACCATCAACAGCATCCTGTGACAATGACTTTAAAAATCTGTATGAAAATGTAGCTTTTGTTTGTTTCAAACCTGATACCTCATCATTTCATTGTATCCCTTCTGGTTCTCAGACTACGAGAAACAGTAAGCATTTGCTTCCTCATTACCCTTTTCCATGCCCCTCATGGTTTTGCAGACATGATTGTACTTTCCTATTCATTTCAGTCATTCATTTTTAAAGCTGAAAAACTTTAGCACACTTAGTCACTTCCTAGACAAAAGAACCATACAACCAAACACATTTACAAGTATCACTCATTCAGGCATTTTTGCCAATGAAGAAAAAAAAGCAAAAAACCCAGCCCAAACCAAAAATAATTTGAGGAGAGTATGAGGAAGTTATGGACTTGTTAAAATCAGAAAAATACTTTTTACAGATGTTCCCATGACAACCCTGCCTGTAGCACTGCTGAGGCCAGTCACTGAGTGTGAAGATGCTGTGTCATTCCAACTGCATTTCAGCTTTCTCTTTAAATTTCTCTGCATTTTTTCTTTCTCTGGTTTCCCCAATTCCAGTCAGCCAGACTATGAAATTTTAGTATTCCAATTCAGAATGTGATGGGACATACTTTTTCAATTCCTATGTGGCACAGTTATTGCAATAAAACAAAGGAGATGGAGCAAGGAATTCAGTGTTTGGAAATTTACACTCAAAATTGCACAAATTTCATTGTCAGTTTATTCATAATTATAATCTGATCAGAAATCTAAGGAACAAGAAGCAGGAGGTTATTTTCCAGACAGGCTTTTCCTCTCCCTGAGGCCTCCGCCAGAGCAAATGTGAACAGAAAATAATGCATTGGGTAATTTCATTTCATCTCTTTGCCATTTCACAAATATTCTTTATAGTCTGCTTTAGGATGCTTTGCACAGCAAAGGGAAGAAGGCACAACTGAATGGACTAACTTTCACACAGTTTTGTGCTGAAGCCACATGAAGTCTCAGTAAAAAATAAATGACTTAAGGGCCAGGCACAAGTTGGGCTATGCACTTCCTATGTGCAAATTGTGCCTGTATCCCTGTTATTTAGAAATAAAACCTACCTGACATTATTTGTCAGACTGAACTTTTATAGCACTGTTTGTGCAATGAGCTTAATACCTACTACCTGTATCATGGAATGTTTATTTTGCACCTTTGTCTGCTGGAATGCCACATGTGGTATGACTTTTGTCACAAAACGTGTCTTATTTTTGTCTTTACCTTGTCAAAACATTGGAGCATTACATTGATCGTTAAAGGATTGTCAGTACTTTAACTGATTGCATTTGTGATGTTCCAAAAGAAAAGAAAACACCCACAGGCAGATAAAATAAAAACTTGGGAATGAAACATCTAGAAATATAAATGTTGGGAGCAGGCAGGTGAGCAGGGTTGTATTTGGCAGCAGAAATAACACCATCAGAAATATTCCCATTATTTTCTCTTCAGCATCATTTGACCGTATAGGAAAGCTGCTCTATAGGTACAAATATTAATTTCTAATTAAGTAGTCAACTGTGCTCTGAAAACACTGGAAAGCTGCTAGCCTTTTATTACTATTTCTTCTCCTTTTACCAGGCCTTTAGTTTTTCCGATATGTAAATCAATACCATTTTCCTTAACTCCTGTGAGTTAAGGAAACAGCAGGCTGTCCATTTCACAGGCAGAGAGAGGGAGGGAGACAGAGAGGTTTCAACCAGAGCCCCAGAAGGAGTCAGGAGTGTACTCACTTGAATGTGGGATTGAACACTAGTTCACACTTATTCTACGTTACCTTTTCTGTGCGTGAATTATTGCTTTCAAATGAGAAATCAGGATGTGCTGTCCATCTTATTTCTGTGTTCACACAGGGTGAAAGCATACTGTATGTATGTTCTTTTTGCTGGACATATATGAATCTTGAAGATGGTGAAGCTACATGCTAATGCTCTTGCTTTATAGCTAAGGTTATCCTGTGAGGGAAATTTCCCCCACCTAGTGCTATAGAATCCTGAAGTCAGAATTGATTCCTTATGCTTTTTGTTAGCTGCAACTTTTAGGCAGCAGGAGTCAAAAATAATGCTCTGGAGAATAGCACTGTGCAACAACTGATAGCAATCACCTCCTGCCCTTGCCAAGGCTGTGCCAGCACTGCCAGCACCAGCTCTGTGCAGCTGGGGGCTGAGACTCAGTCACCTAAATTTCCTACGAGGTAACACCTTGCCTGCCTGCTCAAACACAGCTGAGGGGGAAGGAATCAACTCAGCCATGCACAAATTGTTGACAAACGTGTTGAGGATAAATGCTCCTGATGAGGCTTTAGCATTACCAAGGCATTTTTAATTACCTGAAGAAAAATGAGTTGTTTATTCTAGTGTTTATGTCCTGTTCACTAACTATGAAATCCCAGAATCTGCTGTAATGATATCACTATAGGTAAGGCAGGCTAGGTAAATGGTTTAATACAAATGATGCTTCTTGAACTAGTCTTCCCTTTATGTCAAAGATGCTGAACAACAGTGGCATCTCAGAGCTTTGGGGGATGGAAAACAGTAAAGGGGCTGAAGTGGCATTTTTGTCCTGTTATTGGCCAATTCATTTCCTCCTCCAGATCCCAGCTCTGGGACAATAAATGGGGCAGACCCATAAATTGCCAGGCTGGCAAGTTTGTCAGTTGTTGATTTGCTTCTTTGTCACTATACAGATGATATTCTAAGGTTTTAATTCATTTAAAGGGTGAATCACAAATCCTGACTTAGGTACCTGCAAGTTATGCTAAGGTCTTCCTAGAAGTGGGGAAGAGTGTGCAGGGGTGCTTCATCTCACCCTAAGTTAATTGCTGAAGGAAGATGAGCTGAATTGCTCAGCAGCAGTGCTGCTTTCTCTCTCTACAGGGGAAGCTCTGTTGATTAGTTCAGGCTTGGACATCTGACTATTTTGCTGAACTGCACAGAAACCAAAGAGTTCACACTGAAGAGATGCAGAGCACTGAGAAATCAGATCATGTGCATATGCAACCAAGAATTTTACTGCAAGGTAGTTTCATGAGCACAATGGCACTTCTGCAAGTGAGGTTGATGGGATAGCTCGGTAAATAAAAATGTTCACATTTGTCAGTGACTGCAGAATAAATCCCTATTCAAGCAATTACACACCAGTTTAGTTTCAAAGCAATCTTAGCCCATTAAAGAAAAATGCATATTTAAAGTATTCTGGCTTTGTATTTAACGGATTGATTATCACTGTTGGTGTTTGCCAAGCACACCCACACAAAGAAATTCACTTTGAAAACTGCCTAAGTGCAGATTTGCCCATCAGACCAGAACAGCCTTGGGTATATAATAATAATTTCTTGCTTAATTATGTATTTACTCAGGACATTTAGAGATATTCTGGTCTTCTGAGTGAATGAGAACTTTTGAAAAGCAGCAGTTCTCTCCCTCACCCAGCATGGAGGTGCTGAAATGCTAAGGCTGTTGTTCTATGCCAGTGTGCCTCAGCTGCCTGACAACAGGCACCTCATGGGAACAGGCACTAGGTGACCTCAGGACCCCTTGGCAAGGCAGTGGTAGCACCAGCTTTCTCAGGGGCACTACTGTGACAGCAGAAGCTGAAAATTCACCAGTCACCTCCATTTTCTCCTCTCTCTTAGTGATAGAAACCTACCTAGGAAGTTTGTCCTGCCATGCTCAAGCAGGGACCTGAGGCTTTGGCACATCAACTGATCCCTGTAGATATGTGGAACCAGACAGGTGTTTTCTTGGAGGCATCTGGCAGAGCAGCACATGGGGGTGTAGGGAAGCACTGCACTGATAGGACAGGCAGACAGTAACCAGATCTTGCTTGTCTCGACTATAGTTCGCACTGCTATCTCTGAGGCCAAAATTGAGGTCCTACTGTTTCTCCTGGAGAGGTTTTCCCCTGAGTGGCTTGAGCAAGTACCTGTGCTCAGAGGTCAGGGCAGGAGGTCCCTCCTGTCCTCTTCTCCTTGTGCACTGACTAGGACCATCACAGGCCATGGACATTGCAAACTCTTGTCACTTCATCAGCATTAGTCTCCCCCTACCTCAACCCTTCCCAGAGATCCTCCAACATCCTAGGATAAGGACTTTTCCCAGCTTGGAAGAACTATTTTTCCACTGGCCTAGGTAGAAACTAACCAGCTGGAAATATTAACTGGGAACAGCCCTCTTTTGATTTCTCCTCTCTGCTCTCCTGTAAGGCTTATGGGCAGCTCATCTGGAGGCTTCCCATGGTTTTAGTCCTGCACATGGGAACTAGGGAAAAGCAAGAGGTGGTGTGTATCTAGGAAGAGAGTAGGACAAGATGGAGAATTAGGCCTTTTGAGACTGACTACAGCTTTTTTTTCTTGAGAGTAGACCGTATAATGCAAGTCTTTCAAACTGAGTTTTGTGGTTAATCTGTCACAGAAGTGTTGCTAATGATTGATAATGACTGGGAGGAAACATTCATAGAATTATTTGGCATTATTAGTCTGCTAACCAATGCAGGGGGAGATAATAACCCCCACAAAGAAACATGTGCTGGAGATTTCCAGTGTGGTCAACAAACCTGTTTTCTTTATCTCCTTTTTTTGTTTTATGTCCTATTTCAAAAGAAGTCAGTCCTTCTTCACTCCTTGCTTTCAAAAACAGGACATTGCAACAAACAAACAGAGTTTCTGCCAAAAGAGGATTTTGGAGGTGTAGGGATTCGGCAAGACCCAGCACTTGTGGCCATCACTGTCCTTTCAAGTGTTACAAAAAATGACAAAAAGACAATTGGCTGTTGTCACCCTGACACGATGGTCACAACCGCAGAGAAGTAACAATATAATCAAAAACACACAGCAATCAATGTATTTGACAAATCATCCATCAGCATCATTATTGATATATATATTTATAGCTTAAAATTTAAAAAAATGCAAGAAAATCCTTTATATTATTAAATAATTTACTTTTATAATGTAATTGGATACATACCTTGCCCTGCTTCAGCTCCAGGCAGAAAACAGTTTGAGTTACCAAATCAATACAAGGCATTCTTGGGACAATTTAAGCATGTCTGTACAAGGAGGTTGAACCCATTCCACTGCAGTTTTGTCTAATCTGAATTAGCAAAATCAGCACAGACTTAACAGGGGTCCAAACCACTCTGCTATGGGGAATAAACTCATTGGTAGGAAACGTTGGAAATCTCTGCTTGTTTTGGCTCTTATGCTAATCTATTCAGACAAAAATGATGTGCTTTTACCAGAAATGTTTTGTGTATGCTTTTAATTTTAATTTTTTTTTTTTTTTTACATTTCACCTTTATAGTTTAACAGCACCCGTTCGCCCTCCCCAATTGAGTGTTGCCACATGACCCCCTGGAGTAGAAAGGTACTGGAAAAACAAGCAATCCTCAATTAACAGCCCTGTCTCACTCTTCTCCCTTCTAGATCCTAACCCTTCCTCTTGCTTGCTTTTCACTTGCTAACTTTACTGCGCTAAAAGGAGACATTTCTATTTTTCTCATGTCAGTAAGACACAATAATAACATTTTTCCTCCCCTCTTTCATTCTTCACTTTGGATGGGTTTCAGAAGCTCATGGCCATAAGGCCGCCTCCTCCTATCATCTCCTTTAAAAGGCCTGAACTGGGATTGACTCGATAGCATTAGTGATTGCATTTAATTCTCTCGCAATGTTTTGCAACTGCCCTCGCTCTGTTTCCTAAACGGTAAGAAATTGTCCGGACAATGCCAGACCGACAGCAGGTATTTATTCTCTGGCCATTTGGTGATGCCACTGTTTGGAGAGGAGGAGCTCTGGCAGCCAGGGTCACTTCGTCGGCTTTGTCCAGCACCTTATTGTCATCCAAGGGAGGAATCGGCAACAAATGCAGTCTCTGTGTGTGTATGTGTGTGTGTGTCCGTGTCCGTGTGTGTGTGTCCACGTGTCTGTGCGTGTGTGCAAGGGTGGGTTTTTTTGCATGCATGCAAACTTTGGGCGGGGGGGGGTTGGGGGGGAGTTACCTAGGAAACAAAGTCTTTTGTGCTTGAAGTTTATATGAGCTATTCACGTCTGCCGGGAATCGGCACAAAAGCTGCAGGCAGAAAGAAGGCTGCAATGTTTGACTGAAATCCTACGTGGGAAAAAGGGGGTTTTCTGCGGGCGGGAGAAGAGGAAGTGTGCGTTGTCTTGGGTCTGGGGGTGCTGCGGGAGGTGACACTGACGAGGTAAGTAAGTGCCCTCCAACAGTTTAAATAGTAGCTGCTGAGTTAAGATCTTTAATGCTTTTGGGGCCAGGGCGTAAATGCTGTTTGGCAAGCCTGAAACGGTTAATTCCCTCGGGATTTGTGAGGAGCTTGGGCGGAGGAATGGCAGAAGTACAATGGCAGACGGGGCATGATCCTGTGGTGTCCAACACCCACCTGTTAAACGCCCTGCCAAGGAGATGCAGAGCAACAATTTTATCTTTGTCGTGTTTGCTACCGAAACTAAAACTGGCAAATGAAGTGTAAACTGCGGGCATGAGGGGGAAGGCTGGTAGTTAAGCAGCTGGGAATTCAGGACTGAAGAGAAAGGCACCCTGAAAGGGATTGTACTTCATTTTTAAAAATGAGAGGCAGACAGGTGTCCTGAGCTGGCTGAACAGTTTTCACAGCTTTTAGAAAAATGTATTCATGCAAAAAGGGAGGAAAATTAGGCATAAAAAAGTAAAGGTAAGTGTTTTTCCCCTCTGTCTCTTCTAAACAAAACAGAAACTTTTTTTTTTGCAAACAATGAGACACCCAAATCCAAGCTGGTATCCAGCACCACATGAAAATGCCCTTAATTTATTTCTCTTTTACTAGATTAAATTATAGTGGCTTTGCAAGATGGAGTGCTGTTGGGAAATTTGTTATTTCCTTCAAAAGAAAACAAACCATCTATGTTTCTTCTATGCAGTTTACTTTTCTCTCTTTATCATCTAGTTCTTCTTGTAGTATGCTGTAAAACTATGCATGGTTTCTAAACAACCCTTTGAATGTCTTTTGGTGGTGGCTACTCTTCTCTTTGGTCGCTGTCCCTCAGCTCCAGCACTGTTAACACCTGCCACTTCCCACCACATAGCTGTTGGGTGGTGTACCATGATCTGCTCATGGTCTGAGTTTGTACAAATGGTTTTCTGAAGTATGAGCGCAAGGGGGTGTCTTCTTTAAAACTTTGGGTCTTCTGATGCTTGAATTAATGGTCATCTGGGGCCAGTACGTGCTAGTAATCACTGGACACAGGAGTTCAAAAGGTTGCGGATGCAAATGAGGGCCCACATGTGTCTAACGCTGATGGTAACTGAGGGCATGCTTGCAACAGCTACCTGGGAATGCAGTATGTGCCCCTTCTGACAGAGGAGATGGCCTCTAAATGTCACTGCAAATGTGCTGAGTTCCAGTATGTTGAGTTTTTTTTTCTCCTGTTAGCAGGATGATAAGTTTCCATTGGAGAATAGCTGGTGCTGTGTGACTTAGCTAGAACAATTCCTTCCTGCATCCCCGTAATTGATTTCTGATCTATGTGTCTGCTTTGTTTCAAAATTAACCTCGTGTGCCTGAGTGGGAGACACTGATTTTGAATGTATTCATTTGCAGTCCCATCCACCAGAGGACGAAGATACAGATGTCATGTTAGGGCAGAGGCCGAAAAATCCAATACATAATATCCCTTCTACACTGGATAAACAAACCAATTGGAGTAAAGCACTACCTCTCCCAACTCCAGAGGAGAAAATGAAACAAGATGCCCAAGTGATTTCTTCTTGCATTATCCCCATCAATGTCACTGGTACAAATCTCTTCTATTTCTTTTTGTATTTATTGCATGGTTCAAGGGAGGTCAAGTACTTATTTTGTTTAATTTATTTGAAGTCACGGGATTGTGCAGTCTGGGGGCAAAGACCCTAGCTTGAGGATTTAGTTTCTGGAAGACAGTGGGCTAATTTCGTCCCTTATGCGTGACTGCTGGAGTCGCTGAAGCCGCATCTAGGATTAATTTGGCCCATATTTTCAGTCATGTTATATAGTGTAACATAACCCTGCGTTCTCTGCATAAACAATGTACTTTTGTTGTGTATATAACCTACAGTCTGTATTTACAAAGACCTCAAATAACTTTTTGAATGTAGCTGACTGAAATAATGCAGAACACCACCAAAATTAATCATATGATTATCATGTGTAGCAGGAGAAGAGAAACTAGAGAATGTAGGCTACTATTTGCAGTGCTTTAAATATGCAAGGCATGAATGTGTAGCATGCAAACCATCGCTCTGAGATCTCTTTACATGCAGCTATGCTAAAGGTATAGTAATGGCATTTTCTTTTATTTCTATAACATTTGGATACAATTGACTAGATTTACTTGAAGGAGAACTTATTAAATGTGATAGATGACTTATTTCCAGAATCAAAAATCAGGATGTTTTCTCTTTCTCTTTTTCTCTTTCTCTCATTCCAGAGGGCTATGGTAAACATAAAGTTGATCTGAGTTTTCCTCAATAATATTTCCAAGTACCAACTTTTGATTAACGTAAGAGCATAAAGTGGACTGACTTCCACAGTTATAACTTCAATATAAACAATCAGAAAAAAAGCAGGGACCTTTCAGTTAGCCTTCGTTCCCCAGAGAAAATATTTGTATTTAATTCTATTTTCCCAATAACTGGGAGGTTGGGCTAAGGTCACAGCCCTCACATCCCATTGTTTTTTCCCGTGTCTATCAGCAGTGCACCAACCTCCCTGCAAGACAGGCTGTAGGATTCACCATGGTGCTGGGGAGGGCTGTATGCCAATAGTACAACTTCAGCCCCCAGCCAAGGGGCTCTGGGCTTTTGGACTTGCAGCACATCTGTCTTACAGCATCACGGTGACCAGTCCCCGTCTGCTCCACTGTCAGCTGCATGAATCCTCCTGGTGACAGCAACACAGCCCTGGTTCTCCTCTGCCCCAACAGTGGAGCTGACACTGCAGTGTCACCAGCTCTGCTTGCCCAGGGAGATGGCAGCCAGGAGTGGGTGTCCCTGTCACTGGGATGGTGCTTCTGGCCAGTCAGGGCCCCACGGGAGGACAGGCAGCTGGCTGGCAGAACTGCCTGCATAGACGTTGCTGGCCGGAGGTTGGGACCCGGCTGGTCAAGGTTGCAGGTTGGGCACTGCTACTGCAAATCCCCATGGAAAGTCATAGATAATGTGGCATATTTCCATGAGGTAAAGCTGGTGTTAAAATGATGCTCTTTCTAGATTCAATATAGGACTCTAAAGGGTGTAGGTTTTCTAAGAAGGCTAATGTCACTTAATGCAGTCAGAGGAGAGTTAGGTCTGGGACCAATGTTAACTTTTCCAGTAATAGCCATTTTTGCCTAGACTCCACCTGCCATACATTGGAACCAAATTTCCACTGATCAGTTTTACAGATCAAGAATGGTATGTAATCTTCTGGATGTTTATGTGTATCATTCTCATTAGCACTAATGGGAATAATTTGTATGCGTCACGGGGAGGATATATCCTCTTCCACTTTCCTCTCGGAGATGACCCCCGTGCATCTGGCACACAGAGCATGTTCGGCTAATTCACAGTTGCTGGAAAACCAGCAATGATGCTGATTGATTTTTTGTTTCAAAGAGTTTGCTTTCAGTTCTCTGGTTTTGTTTTTTAAGCTTCTCCCAACCCTGAGAAATGTTCACTTTTTTGAAAATGATTGTTGTTGGAGTTTATAGCACCTTTGTTCCATATTAAAGAAAGTTCTTCCTCTGCTTATTCCAGGGGCATTGGTGGTTACAGGACATCTGTCTGAAGCCTCTATTTCACTGTAGTAGATTTCAAGAAGAACTTTTACAAGAAAGTTACTTTTTAATGTTTTACATTGTTACGTAATGTAATATGTATGTGTATGTCTGTGTATAATTATGTTTTCTATAATTATACGCTATTAAAATAGAGCTTCTTATCAGGATTTTTATTTTCCTTTTGTTTGGTTTAGTTTGTTTGTTTTTCTTAAGATTACAAACCACTGTACCAGCAATCCTTATGTTAGTGTTTTTATGGACCTGGCACATTTTTTCCAACTTGTCCCATGTCAACTTTAGAGAGTGTGAGTGAGCGTATGCTTGTGCAAAAAGCCAGCACAGATGGGCACTGGTCTTCTGGTTGGCCTTCTTTAACTCTATTTTGACAACACAGTGTAAACAACAAAGTGAAATATACTTTCCTGTGCTAATGCCATGGAAACATAAAGAAAATAAGGGATTCTCACCTATTCTATGCACATTAGTTTATCTGGTCGTAAACAAATGTGCTCGTGAACTTGGGCTTCTAAATCTAAACTGAGGATCTTGATTGCATGACCTGATTCCCTGAGTGGACTCCCACTATGTGCTGAGCATATGTGAAAATCAGCACACTTACTGATGTAAAGAAATAGCAGCTCCCCGTTAGTGTCACTCTTGGCCTTGTGTCATTGTTACAGAGAATGCTCTCTAAACTTGCACGGTGACTTGGCCCCATTTTAGCTGTCTCCTTCCTTTTTGAAATGTTAGCCCCCTTGGCATATTGGTCTCCTAAGAAGCGCCCAATTACTGCAATATGGCATTATAACCTTAAAATGTCTTCTTATGCTTAGTTGCTTAAAGTAAGTCAGGCAATAGCTGAATAGATAATGCTTTGCAGACAAGTTACTGTCATTATCCCTATGACAGATGGATAAATAGCTATAAGAAAGATGCCCTGTTACCAAGAGCTCTCAACTCTATTTGCCTTCCTGATTTTCTTTTCTTTTCCTTTTCTTTTTCTTTTCATGCCTTCTGTTATTTTTGGCAGACCAGGCTGCTGAGGGGGAGCTGGAATTAGATGTAAAACTGTGATATACTGTGATATAATTTACATAAGAGCTACATAAGGGCTCCCTTATGTTTATTCACAGGCTTAATCCAAGCTCACATACCTCCACTGTGTTCCAGCCATGAAAATTTGTTTACTATTTCTAAAGGCTAATGAGACCTATTTATGGGTTGCAGGAGTTGGTTTTGACAGAGAGGCTAGTATACGCTGCTCTCTTGTTCATTCACAATCTGTACTACAGCGGAGACGAAAGTTGAGGAGGAGGAAAACCATCTCTGGCATCCCCAGAAGAGTGCAACAAGAAATAGGTGTAGTATAAATACAAATTTTCCATAGATAGCTTTCTAACAAACTTAAATTGCAGGGATATGAGCTGGTAGCTAGCCTTCCAAAGAAATGAAACCTTTAAATTGTAAATGCTTCTGGAGTTTGGGAATGACATGTTTTGTTTTTTTGATTTACTACAGTAAGAAAAGCTATATTACTCCATATGGTCTTGAAGGACCAGGGGCCTTACTGAGTAATATAGATGTACGTGTTCAGCTCTTATTGTGTAAATGTTAATCAGTTCTTTTTTTTTTCATTTTATTTCTGTTATGAACCCATAGTTATGTGCATAAAAAGTAACTAGATTAAGTGAAAGTTTTTTCTTGCGTGAGGGGAGCTTAAGGTAAAGAACTGACAGATGTTGCTCAGCAAAGTGGTGATGAACTGTCACAACAGCTGGATAACTCAGATGAGCGCTTGGATATCCACTTAGAAACAGCTGCTGGTACCCTACAGGAGCTTTGCTAAACCTTTATTTTATTTATCACACTCCTTGATTCCTTCTTTTTATTCTTTATTACCAAGAATATTTGCCTGAAATCTATCTACTTACCTCACTTTTTATAACAAGTAAATTAGGAGCAACTCCGTTGAGGGCGAATTCTGTGTAAAATTGTTATTAACCCAAAATGAAACTAACAGGATTGTTATTTCTTAATGTTCATGTACACCTGAAGATGGCTCTGGTGTCTCGGTCCGTTGCCATGAAACTTCATTGGAAGGAAAAGGAATGTATTTGTCATAGGGAATAAGGAACTAGAGAACCTATGAAAGAAAGATCCTGTTGCCTTGCAAATATTCTTGGTAGTAAAGAAGTAGATAATAGAAGTTCTGAACAGACAGGTAGTCAAAATAGAATTATTTTTAGAAGTTCATGGAGTGTTTTGTCCAGCAGCCACTCCTGAAAACTGTCTTTAACTGGTTGAAATAGAGTGACAAAAACTGAAAACCTAGTATTTATCTTAATATTTACCACAGTAAGCTCAGCTCCACAAGAGATCACATTGCAGAAATAGGAGAACAGAGATCACATTGCAGGACTAGGAGAATTTCCCTACCTCACTGGCATGAGGTCTGCCTTATATACCTTTATAGCCAACTTAAATTTGGTCCAATGCTCAGCAAGATTAAAAAAATTAAGAATACAGCAGATAATGCTTCTTAGGTTGCTCCGCGGGTTGTCTCATGCCAGGAAATGTGCAACTTTCTCCCACTCACCCAGCTTTCCGTGTGTCCTAGATTCAGACGAGTCACCAGTGGCGAGAGAGCGCAATGTGATTGTGCACACAAACCCAGACTTCTCTGGCTCCAGCAACAGGAGGTCGGGGACCCGGGACTCGGAGTGCCAGACGGAAGAAATCCTAATAGCTGCTCCCTCACGGCGACGGATCCGTGCCCAGAGGGGGCAGAGCGTTGTTGCCTCCCTCTCCCACTCTGCCGGCAACATCTTGGTGCTGGCAGACAATGGGGACGCCGTCTTCGCTGCCGCTGTAAGCAACCGCATCCGCTCGCGGAGCCTTCCTCGCGAGGGAGCCCGGGCCAGTGAGGGCCATCAGGATGCCACTACCAAGAGTGGAGGGTATGAAGCGGAGCACTTCCTAGCTGGTCAGGAGAGGATCCCGAAAAAGGGAAAGGAGGTCTTGATCAAGCAGGGTTCACAGGAATGCCAGCCCATTGGTTTAACTTGTCCTCAGCACCTGCACAGCCCCGAACACAGCATCAGCGAGAGGGGGAGATCGCGGCTGTCGAGGATGGTCGATTCAGGCAGCTGTGAGATTTCGTCCAACTCAGACACCTTCGGGAGCCCAATTCACTCCATCTCCACAGCAGGAGTCCTGCTCAGCAGCCACATGGACCAGAAAGATGACCACCAGTCCTCCAGTGGCAACTGGAGTGGGAGCAGCTCAACATGTCCCTCCCAGACATCTGAAACCATTCCTCCTGCTGCCTCTCCTCCGCTAACAGGCTCTTCGCACTGTGACTCTGAGCTGTCGCTCAACACCGCTCCCAATGCCAACGAGGACTCCAGTGTCTTCACAGAGCAGTTTGGTGACCATGCAGACAAGGTCAGGGGCCACAGGGCGAGCTCCTTCACCTCCACTGTGGCAGATTTACTGGATGACCCCAACAACAGCAACACGAGTGACAGTGAGTGGAACTACCTGCACCATCACCACGACGCCTCCTGTCGCCAGGACTTCAGTCCTGAGCGTCCAAAGGCAGACAGCCTGGGATGCCCCAGCTTCACCAGCATGGCCACCTATGACAGCTTCCTCGAAAAGACCCCCTCTGACAAGGCAGACACTAGCTCACACTTTTCTGTGGATACTGAAGGATACTATACCTCCATGCACTTTGACTGCGGTCTCAAGGGTAATAAAAGCTATATTTGCAACTATGCAGCCCCAGGCTCCGAGAGTGGCCAGACTGGGAGCATGACTTCCAGCCTGGCTGACTGCACCTGGCAGGAGTGCATGAGCCACAGGAGGCAGGGACGGCAGAGCATCTCACTGAAGAAACCAAAGGCAAAGCCAGCCCCACCAAAACGCAGCTCGTCTTTGAGGAAATCAGAGGGCAGCACCGACCTTTCTGACAAGAAAGAACCAAAGATCGGTGGTGGACAGCATGTCTCTCACACTGCCAGGGAGATGAAGCTGCCCCTTGAATTTTCAAACACACCTTCCCGAGTGGAAGGCCCCAACCTGCCAGCCAAGCAGGAGCTTCCCTGGGCAAACCAGGGTGATGGCGGGTTAAAAGACGCTCCGTTTGACACCGCCGATATCCCCTCCTTTAAAGATGAAGGTGCTGAACAACCTCACTATGCAGACCTCTGGCTTCTGAACGACTTGAAATCCAGTGATCCTTACAGGTCCTTGTCCAATTCAAGCACCGCTACGGGTACTACAGTCATAGAGTGCATCAAGTCACCAGAGAGCTCTGAATCCCAGACATCTCAGTCTGGGTCACGAGCTACTACCCCATCCCTCCCCTCTGTTGATAATGAGTTTAAGCTGGCCTCTCCCGAGAAGCTGGCGGGGTTAGCCTCACCTTCCAGTGGGTACTCCAGCCAGTCGGAGACGCCCACCTCTTCTTTTCCAACAGCTTTCTTTTCGGGACCCTTGTCTCCAGGGGGGAGCAAGAGGAAACCAAAAGTACCAGAGAGGAAGTCATCATTGCAGCAGCCACTCTCAAAAGACAGCACTGCCTCGGTGAGCAAAGACCTTGAACTTCCAATTATACCTCCTACTCACCTCGACCTAAGTGCTCTTCACAATGTCTTGAGCAAGCCCTTCGCTCACAGGCACCAGCTGCATACCTTCAGCCACAGCAAGCAGAGCGCAGTCGGGGAAGCCCTGCAGCCCAGCCCTCCCTCCGCCCTCGCCATCACACCCTCCGTTCTCAAGTCTGTCCACCTCCGGGCAGTCAACAAGCCTGAAGGAGTGAAACATAAAGGCAGCACCCCAGACCTGCTGTGCATACAGGAGACTGCCTTGACAGCGACTGATGTTTCTCCAGGCAAAATGAGGCCGCTCTTAGCTAAGAAACCAGTAGCGCGCCAGTACTCTACAGATGAGGCCGTAATGCTGTACATTGACACCTCCCCGGCAGAAGCAGGCCCTGGAAAGCCACCTTTAGAGAAAAGCTCCTCTTTTGGCGGGCAGAATAGCTCTGAGCAAGAAGCTGTAACTTCAGCAAGTGTGAGTCTGGTTGAAATTGAACCTGGAAAGGACCAAACGCACCTGGATGCTGAATGCTTACCAGAAAGCTCTCTGAATCAGACGTGTGCTATCTCCGTGGATGGGTTTCAGAAGGGCTCAGCTGTCCCCACAGGTGACGACGAAGCAAAGAAACCCATCCAGGGACCAGAAACAGTGTGCGACCTTCAGCAAGTGCAGGCTCATCAAGAGCTCTCCACAGGCAGCGAAGGGAGGCTGGAAGCTGGGCCTGTGGGTGAAAGCCCAGCTCAGGCTGAGGGACCAACCATCAGCTATCAGTTTAAGCACCAACCCGATGTAAGCCACCATGTGCCTGGGAATATCGGCTATGAAGCAGAGATGGCAGCAGTTAATTCACTTGGTGAAGTGGGTTGCAAGCAGGAAAATGGTATCGCATCAGGTATCCCAACCAAAAGTGCCTCTGATGACAGCAGGGCAGACGAGACAGTGGGCAGCACAGATGAGCCTTCACTGAAAGGTCAGTTGTGAACTCTTTCTGTATCATGCGACTTTGGATGTGACTAGTAGTGGAGTCAGAGCAGGCTAAAGTTGCACATCAGCTTATCTCTGTAGGTTTAAGCACAGAGCCCTCCAAGTCTGTTAGTTGGCCAGCCAACCCAAAGATATTTACACCTTTTCAATGTATTCAGACCTTTTTTCTTTGATATTTATTTCCTCCCTTGTGCTGCATTTCAGCTGAAAAGAGAAAAGGGAGGAGCATTGGCCCTGGGTATAGAGGAGGCTTAGTATCACAGCTGTGCAGTAAATGGGAGGTCCCATGTTCAGTGCCTGGCAGTGCCCCTTTTATGGGCTCCAATATGCAACATTCACCATGTTTAGATTAGAGTGTAAGGTCTGTATGGTGGTATCAGCCACTGGGCTGTGAATAGAGCTGGTGCCTTGCACTGGCAGTGCTGTTGCAAAGTGCAGTGGGGTCTGACTCATAGCATGGCTTCTTTCCTTGTTTAAGAGTCTTCTCCAAGCGATGAGTCCATCATGTCTCCACTGAGCGAGGAGTCACAGGCTGATGCTGAGGATGTCTTTGTGTCTCCAAACAAACCCCGCACTACCGAGGATCTGTTTGCAGTCATTCACAGGTGACCTAACCTTGCAGCAACAGAAATGCTAACATGCATCCCTGCACAGTTGCCCACTAACAATAGTTACAGGTTATTCCATGCTTAAGTTTTGTCCTGAAACTGCCTTCTTTAGTTAACTCATTTTAGTTTTCTAAAAGGCAGCTTTTAAAAGATGCTTTATTATGGTGTGCAGTGCAGTCTTGGTATCTTAATGGCATACTTCACAGATGACAACATCAGGCCATTCTATCTAACAAAAATACATGTCTTCAAAGTACCAGCAGTGGTTCCTGCCTTCTGTCCACCAGTTCACCAGCTCTATTCTGGTGTGTGAGTTGTTGAAGCGAGAATGATGAGAAGGTATCTCTTCAATTTTAGAGTATTTTGTAGTCAGCTGAAATTTGTGATCACAACTGAAATTAAAGATTTCTGATATTGCATAGGTTATGCTGAGTCTTATTATTACCTAAGACTCTGTAGGCATTGTTGTCTTTGCACAGAGCATTGTTTTGGAAGAGCTGGGTGATGTTGAGAGGGACTCTGTGGCTCAGTGTCTCATCCATTACACAAGAGCTACCACAGCTTAAAGTGCCATCAGTCACTGCTAGCCTTCGGTATTTGACAGAAGGATTATGAGAACTCTAGCTAATATGAAAGAGTACTCAATCTGTAAAACTCCAGACCAGCCCTAAGTTTTATACTACAAAGATAACATATGAAAGAGTTTTCCTTTGTGTTTTTACAGATCAAAAAGGAAAGTTCTTGGGAGAAAGGATTCTGGAGACCTTTCTGTAAGAAACAGATTGAGAGCTTCATCTGGGACCAGCAGCCAGCCTCTCACCAGCAGCACGCTGCCCACCAGCAACATGCCATCAGCCGGCAGCATGGGCACTCCCATTAGCAGTCAGAGGTCACCCGGGCTCATATACAGGAATGCCAAAAAGTCCAACACATCCAATGAGGAGTTTAAACTACTGCTCCTTAAAAAGGGCAGTAGATCTGATTCCAGCTACAGGATGTCTGCCACGGAAATTCTGAAGAGTCCTATTTTGCCCAAGTCTCCCGGAGAGCTGATGGCAGATGCCCTTCAAAGCATGGAAGAGTCTCCTCCTGTGACGAGCCCCGACACATTGTCCCCGCTCTCCCCCTGCTCCCCCAGGGTTAACACGGAAGGATTCTCCTCCAAGAACTTTCCCATGTCGGCGTCGTCGAGAGTGGGGCGGTCGCGGGCGCCTCCAGCAGCCAGCAGCAGCCGGTACAGCGTGCGCTGCAGGCTGTACAACACACCCATGCAGGCCATCTCGGAGGGAGAGACGGAGAACTCAGATGGCAGCCCCCATGACGATCGGTCTTCTCAGAGCTCAACATAGGCTGTGTGGGTGCCAGGCTGCCAACACCACCTGGGCTCTGTAAGGATGTCAACATAAGAGGCCAATGCTGTAGCAATTCAAAAAAAAAAAAAAAAGAAGAAAAAGAAAAAAAATTGCAGGGCAGTATCAATGCTCAGATGTGTTTGCGTTTGTAAGACGCTGGGGAAATGAGGACTACAGCTGTAGCTATTTATTACATTACATTTTCTAAAAGGAGGAAGATATGCTATGTCTGTTCTGTTTTCTTTTGACTTCATTTGGTTTATCACACTCTCATTTCCATTGTCACTGTAGATTTCAAGGCTATACACTTTCCATAGAGTTAAAGGTGACTTTGGGTGGTTTTTTTATCCCAGAAGCTGCCCATCAGATACAAATCCCTCACTGTAGTGCTTCCCTAGGGAGGAAAAAAAAAAAAAGAAAATGCTCTTGAGAATTGGTATTTTTCTACACTAAAATGAGCTGAAACAAAATTTAGAAGAAACTAACAAAACATATGTAAATACCATATTTTTGATAAAAATTTGTAAATATAATTATCAAAAAGTGGACGTGGCAAACAATTCACTGCGTAACAACTTTGTTTATAGAAGACAAAAGAATTCAAATGTAATAACTGTATTCTGTGAATACCATTTTCATATCAAACATAAAAAATCCACATGGCCACCGATAACCACTTTCCGTGTGACAGGCCTGAAGGATGACATTGAGCAGTGGAAAGGGGGAATTCTCCACCTTAGCTAAGGAAACGGAAAGGCTGACTGTGAGGGAATTAAAGTAACCATTTGTCTTTCTAAGGCAGCTCCATAGAAGCTAACTGGAAAGTGCAGCTGGGAAGGTTACCTTGAGGATTGGTGGGGAAGACGAGTGGGTTTCTGACAGAACAAAGCTGTGTCTGATGCAAAGTCCCAAAGGGTCCCATCCCACAGCCTCCCCTGGGCCTTTATTCTTGCAGGGATCGCTTCGGAGAGGATAGATGTGAGAGAAAACAGTACTGAACTTTCATATTCCTATTAGGCTATTGGGATACATAACACAGTCATAACCTGGTAACTATAATCTTTAAACACGATTAGTTTCTGGTTCGTAAAGGAAACAAATAAATTGTAAGCATGCAAGAAGCGCTTTTGATTTATCAGTAAATATCTGCAATGAGTTTTCAGTGAAGCTTTCTCTTTGTGCTGATGAGATTCATGCTACCTAAATATTTACGAAAATGACACTGTGAAAAAGTAGCTGGGAAATAGGTATGTGTATGCATTATTTATATTCATTGCTGAGCTGGGAAGAGGAAAGCTGCGGTTCATTGTGCCAGCCACACACAGTAAGGATCTTGTCTGGGTTTACCAGAAGCACAGAACAGGGTGGGGGACTGGGGTGGGGTGGGAAAGGAGATAAATCAAAAAGTAGCTGCTTTGATACAAATGAAGGCAGGGAGATAAAAGCTGAATTACTTGAAGTTACTTGAATATTCTCATCTTAAAACCACAAGAACCTGTGAGTCGCTTTATACTTTTAATTTTTAAATAGAATAAAACCAATAGGCCTGATCCTCCTTCGGGCCACTGCAATTTCCATTGATGTAGCCCCGTCCATGCTACTCAGAGGACAAGGCTCTCTTTATCCAAAACTGATGCAGTTTGTGTTGGTTGCCGTAGGATATGGTTTGGAATAGAGGAAAGGCTAGTGCAGAGAAAATAGTGCGAGGAGGAATGAGGTGTGCAGTAGGACAGGTCAAATAGGATGGCAGAAAGAGCATACTTTGGTACTAAAGAAATCAGCTAAAAGCTGGCTTTAAGCATAAGTAAATAATAGGGAAGCGGGATGTGTGAATTCGGTTTTTACTGAGTTTTCTTTTAATCATGTAATACATAAAGCTGAGAGTTTTTAAAAGCGGACAGAGCATGTTTTAAAGAGGAAGGTTCTACCTAAAACTGTTACAATTTTAAACAGTCAAAGCAAATCAGAACAGTTTAACAAATCTCAAATTATTCCCTAGAAGGTTCACATTTGATTTTGTCTAGTGCTTACCACAAGATGTATTATTCAGGGTTTCCCACTGTCCTCCAGCATAGCCTGGTTGCATTCGTGTGGTGAGATAGAGTCACTATGCATGTGGTATGTGTGTTGGGATGAGGGGTGGTCCATCAGTTGAAGGGCTGCAAAATCATCTAAAATAGTTTTTCAGAAGGTAATGGGAGCAAGGTTTTGGAAACAGAAGGGTAATCACATTAGTAGCTTAGTTAAGAAGATAAGTCTGAATACAAGTGAAGTGAATGAATGAGAATGTTTTAAGAGGAAATGTTCAGCATATAACAAACCGCTTTCTGGAGAATATGAGTAAAGGAAGTTTAGATACTGGGCAGAAAATCCTTAGTTTGTCATTTTCAGTCATTTTCCATTAAAATTTTACCAGGAGCACTTTTATAATATGTTTAATAACCCTGAGTTAAACAGTCATTCAAAACTGTAAAGAGAATACAGCTACATTGACTTTGATGATATCACTTTTTTTATCAATCAATAATTTAATAGAGATCAAAAATAGATATATATACACTTTTTTTTTACCAGAATGGTGAGGCAATATTTCACATACAAAATGAACACAGAACAATCCCATTAAAATATAGTCTTCTTTTGCTTAATTTCCTAGTTTATATTTAGCAGACTGAAACCCAAATAGAGAGATTCTAAATCCGCTAAGAAGAAAGGAGTCATAACAAACGTGGGAGTCAGAGGAAGACGAATAGCAGGGATCCCTGTAGCATTGCAGGAATGCCACTAAGGCACAGAGGACAAGCCATAGAGCAAAGAGAACATCACTCACCTCTTGAGACAGGGTACAGTACGAGCATGAGGTAACTGCTGAACCGTCATTTCAACCTACTGTTCTGTTGCTTGCACTGATGTTATGAAAATGATTTCTTAAGTTATACAGCTGTGTTCTGAAAAAAAAACATTTTCCCCTTTTCTCCTTTGTTCCTTTTGCTTTTCATTTTGTTATTGTTGTTGTGGCAGCATAGAGGGCATGGGATAGTTGTAGCAAATAAAGCATATGTTTGCTTTTGCCAAAGGTCAGTGATTGAGTGCATTTGCTGCAATGGTGGCAGATAGAGAAATACTGTAGGTTATGACTTAAAGAATTAAAAAAAAAATTAAGAAGGTTACAGTGTAACTATTTTGGTACTAGCACCAGTTCATGCTGGCAGAAAAGACAATGGTTTATGGACTTGCATCCATTTTGTATTTTTGTAATATTTGTAAATATGAACTTTTTAAATTGTTGCAAATATGGTTTCTTTTGTAAAATGTTTTCAAAGTTTACATTAAATCCAAGCCTTTGTATATTTTAGAGCTGTGCAACACTTTAAGTCTTGTATTTATTTTTAGTAAAAACGGTGACAGTTTCATTGTGAACCCCTCTCAAAAAATGTGTTGGAAAAGTTTGATTACCTAGAAAGTGTGTATAGAAACTGCAAATAAACGTGACTGCAATTAAATCACACCTTCTCTTTACTTTCTTGTAATGAGATGTGAAGTCTAATCTACGGACTACAAGTATGCTATTTCCAAAGGTCACTCTCGGGGCTTTACACATTTCAAACCCATTTAATCATGCTTTCTCTTCAACCTAATTTTTTTCATAAACTGTAAAAGGGAAAATCTGTATCCAAACTGTCGTTGACTTTAAGTGCCCACCAGTATGTTTTTACCAGAATATAAAGACTGCTGAATTTACCCTATGTCTTTTACAGGTAAGAAAAAGCTAAGAGAAAGAAAGCCGGGATGAAAAACGGTGGTAAAACCACTGCTTTATCTTCGCCCGGAAAAGAAAACAAATTGTAACACTTCAGACTCAAGGCATAGGAAATCCAGTGACTGGGTCCTATCAGGAAGGATAGGAAGCCTTGGGCAAAAGGCAGGCCATAGATTATGAACACAAACTTTGAAGTGCTAACACTACCTTATTTTAAAATGGTTCGGTTACCAGGAGGTTGAGAAGTCAGGACATGGAAACCAAGTGTTTAAAACAACAGCCTCTGCAAAGAGGCTGAGTCTCTTTGAAAATGAATGGAGATGAAGATTCGCATCATGAAAGTTTGGTTTCAGCTGGCATCTTGTAAGTAGCCTTGGAACACTGTACTTGGTATTTAAAAAACACATATGGAAAAAAAAAGCTGAAATGCACAAGTCTGGTGTCCTAGAGAGCATGGAAAAAAGAAGGGCTTTGGGGAATGCTGCTGGGCTAACTGCAATGATATTTTGCAATGGCAAGAGGATTGCCCCGATGATGTAGTAGCCTTAGAGATGTCTCCAAGTGGGAATCAGTTTGCATAACATTCACTTTAACCAAGTGATCAAGTAGTTAATGGTTATGTGGACAATTCCCTGTTGTCTTGTGTGCCTTTCCCAACTCAGAAATACAGGTAAGCAAGATCTGTAGGGAAAGCTTAGGCCATAAAGGCAGGCACAAGCTGATTTTCCTCTGCCCACTGTACACCTGTAGTTTTTCATGCCCAGTGGAAGAGAAGATTAAACATTAGACTACATAAAATATACCCAGTGCTTTTTATATATACAAGGTGTCATGTCCCAAGAGAGTGACCCTGGGTCACCTGCTCTGGGAGAGCTGCAAAATATTGAGATTGTAGAGGGTAGTCCTGGACTGCCTACTCTGAAGTACGTTCGGGATACCCTTGAGCTAAATTATGGTGAAATAATGCCAAATGATCAATTAGAAAGTTTTATTTATGGCAGCAATGATTAAACTTTATGATATGTTGAATGGTTTGTGGCAACAATGATTTAAACATTTCTGAACAGCACGTGGCAACAGCAACTTCTGAACAGCCCATGGATTGAACTTTTCAGGAGAGGAATAATGGAATATACTAGGTTTCCAAGGGATCTCCCATACCTGTGGAGCAACTTATAACCTGTGGGCAATTAAACAATTTATTCAGGGTTGGGTCTTGTATTTCTACTTTGCTCACATCCTTATCATCAAGGTCAATTTCCATTAACAGTACATGTCTCCATGACCAAGCTGTCTCATGGGGGCAGCATATGGTTCAGATTTGAGTTATTTTTTTCTTTATCCTAGGGAATCGGGATGCACCATTTTGGATTCTACTGTATTCTGTTGTCTGTTTCAAAACAGTCACTCTCTAATGGTGGGTACCACCAATCAATCATAGAATAGTCTAAGTAAAACCTGTTATATGCCTGGTTACAATTTCCTTGATCTTTTCAAGGAAATCTCTTTCATTAGGTTACAACAAATTTGTGCCCACAAATTATCCCATTCTTAGACCACCCTGGCAGTAAAATGACTACTGTTGTCATATTGGACAGACTTGGGTTTAGACAAATAACTGAACCATCACTTCAGCACTTTTACTGTGCATTCTCCAACAGGCCATGCTACTGTTTCAGCCTGAATGAGACCTGAAACTACTTCCACCCAGACCAGCACACACTGTTTTCCTTCTGATTTCTTGAAAGGACCTATAGAATCTACTTGCCATGTCTCCCATAGAGCCTTGTTATCTCTCAGATGAAGTGGGAGGTCTTGTAGGGGGTGGTGATCAAGACATATACTGTACAGCTTACAAGTCACCAGCCACCCTCAACTCAAGCTTCTTGGAAGAGATCTTGTAACTCCTGAGTGCTTGCATTTAACATGCAACCACTCTAGTGAAGGTTCCCATTTTATTTCCTCCTCTCCTGCTGTTATCACCACCTCCAAGAGAGCTAAGGAATCCATCTGGTTATTTGCAGAATCACAGAATGGGTCAGGCTGGAAGGGACCACAGTGGGTCATTTGGTCCAACCTCCCTGCTCAGGCAGGGTCATCCTAGAGCACATGGCATCAGGATTGCATCCAGATGGTTCTTGAAAATCTCCAGTGAAGGTGACTCCACAACCTCTCTGGGCAATCTGTTCAGTGTATGGTCACCCACATGTTGAAATTCTTCTCTGTATTCAGGTGGAACTTCCTGTGCATCAGTTTCTGCCCATTGCCTCGTGTCCTTGTGGTTGGCACCACCGGGAAGAGCCTGGCTCTATCTTCTTGGCACCCCCTCTTTAGATTTTTATACACATTATTAAATAGGTGAGCTAGATTGCTTCCCTTCTGGTGGGCTGCACCAAGGTGGGCTTATGCTTTCCGGTGTCCAAAATCTCTTCCCATTTATCCTTTTGCCACGCTCGCACTCGAATAACTCCCCCCGGTCCTGTTCCCAAAAGGGAAGCCATTCAGCACACTCTTTAAACGCCGCGTAAGGGCCTGTGTGGGTGTACAATGGACTCTTATTCTCCGCCTCTTCACCACCCTCCATCCCGCTGTTCCCTCTCCCGCGCTCTCCCGCCGGGCAAACGCGGCCGCGCCTGCGCGTGGTCGGCCGGGAGCGGCGGTCCGTCTGTCCGTCCGTCCCTCGTGGCTGCGGCGGCCGCGGGCCCTGCGCTCACTGGGCGCTCCGCTCCCCCGGGCCGCTCCCCCAGGCCGCAGCTGGCGGGGCTGCAGGCGAACACCCCGCGGAAGGGGAGGCCCAGGACGGCGGCCCGCGGAGCCGAGCCTTCCGCCGCCTGCTCCGCAGCGCCGCGGACTGTTCGCCATTGCCCAGCGTGCGGCGCGGGAGCACCAGGCACTCCCCGACTAAGGGGTATAATCCTGTAGGGCCCGCGGCGTTCTCCATGGGAGAGTGTTGTGGCAGGATCCGGAGGCGGTTACGCATCAGCTGAAGGCATCCACTTTTTGCACGCTTTCCAGGATCCGTGGGCGTTTGAATGGAAAAGGGTCCTCCAAAGGGTTTAATCCCCTGCCCTGGCCTCACTCAGTAGGATACGGCCTCCTCCAGTGAGGGACACCCTCCACACGTATTCAAATTCAGTTTCCCAGGGGCCCCGGGAGTATTTTAGCCAAATTCGTAGGGGAATAAGGGATGGGGGGTGTGGTGACCTGCTGAGCTCCCCCCAGGCTCCCTTTTAATCAGGGGACGCATTAGGGCGCCTTCCTCATATGAGTATAATTTCTTCATATTTGGTAAGTCATCGGAGGGATATGCTGACTCAGGCACCCTACCCTCCTCATCAATGAGGGAATGAGGCCTCTCCAACTGCTCCCATAGTATTTTTTCCCTTTCTAATGATTCTACCAAGGCACCAGTCTGAGTAGTTATCCATTCAGCAGCAAGCCAATTGGAAAAGCTCCGTGCCTCTATTTCCTAGTTCTTCCTATAATACTTTAACCAAATCTTGCAACAACTCGATCATTTCACTTTCTGCCTGTTGGCTCACGTGCGTGTTTTGCTGGGCAGCAACTGAGCCCCCAGTACGACACAGACTGATGCTTTTCCCCAGTCTCAGCCTTTGCTCTGTCGCTAAGATGGTGATCCTATCTGCCACTGCCTGTGGATCATGCTAGTTGCTACGGGCCCAAGCCATACAAGGGGGAGAAGGTTGGGCATTGTAACCCCCTAACCACTCCAGGAGAGGATTACAATCCTTAGTTGCAAAACCTACAAGTATAGGAAACCTCCCAGGGAGGTCCTAGCAAAACCTACAAAGTACTGTTCCTCCCTGAGATACGGCTCTTCTCAGACAAGGGGTCATGCTAAGGACCATGTAGCCCTTAGCATGACCATGTAGGCCTTGGTTGCTTTAGCACAAACAAGGGTATCCTGTCTGTGATGCAAATTTAAAATATTGAGTCCCTAGAAGGCAGTCCTGGACCACCTGCTCTGATATAGCCGACCTTCGGAATACCCTTGGGCTAAATTAACTGAAACAATCCCAAAAGTTTTATTTATGGCAGCAACAATTTATGATAGGTTGAATGGCCTGTGGTAGCAGCAATTTAAACATTTCTGAACAGCACAAGACAACAGCAATTCCTGAACAGCCCACAGATTGAACCTTTCAGGAAAAGATGAAGAAGGAAAGATAGGGAAACAGAGGTAGTGAAAAAGGATCTGGGTCACCACCGGCACCATCTCTGGTCCAGTTCCTCTGGAAGATGGGTGCACACACAGCCACTATAACCTTCCTCATTAGCATTCCTTTTCTGAGGACTGTTTGAGACATTAACTCTTTCAGGTTTTAGGTCTCTCACATAAGGTGAAATCATTGTAACTATTTACAATATATGTGAAGTCAGTGACTTCTGTAAGCCTTTGTAAAATCCAGGTGTCACTGTGTACGTTTGGGTATGCGTGTACAGCATACAACCATCAGGCCCATCCAGTGGTACTATAATCTCAATACTATAGGTAGTATGACTGCAAATACAAGCTTTTTTCAGGTTGTACTGTACTGGTTCTCAGCAAAGCATCCCACCATGCTGTGTAGATATATATATACACACACATATATAAGGAATGTATATAATCATGCATGGGAAGACTCATGGGTATGAGAATTTTCAAAGGATATGGGTGTTAATACTTGAATGACACATCAAAAATGTTGGCATCTTCTCCCAAGGGTGGAATTCAACCCCCACCCAACAAATCTTCCTATACATTCTTCCTACAGTGCTGTCAGAACACTTGGCAGCTCGGGCCACATACACAACCCAGGGGAGTCCTCCTTGAGCCAGCAAGCAGGAGGCATGTTTAACCTCTATCTGTTGCTGGAACTTTTACTAGATATGGAGAAGCTCTGATCCACAACAGAAATCGTGTTTCAGAGAGGGGACTGGTGCAGGTGTTCATTTCAAGTACTAAGTGTTGGTGCCTGCTCTTGGAAGCACCACTGGTTGTGTCTGTCCATTGCTCTGTGTAAGACAGATACAGTCTGGGAAGCAAGGGATCCTCCCCAGATATGGAGGATATGATCACTGGATTTCTATAGGCACTTACTTGACAGACTTTGTTTTTTATAAACCTATTTTTGCCTCCTTTAATTCTCTACTTGGTGCCACAAGTGTGTATTAAGCGTTACAGTATTTTCCTGGGATTAAAGTCAGGGTGACAGGTTTTTAATTACCCAGTTTATCCCGTTTGTATTTTTAACTCCTGGCATATTAGCATTCTCCCAAAACGTTTCTAGTGCCCAACATTATGGGTCATAATAATCCCTCAACACATTATTCTAACTCCTTGAATGCAAGTAATCCAGCTCTGCCAATTGAAGATGCCTGTTCTAACTATTTCAGTGTGAATGGGAGAGAGGTTTCATATCATATCACCTGTACTTCCCAAAGAGAGTACTGAGGAAATGTATTCGTAAGGAATACATATCCTCCAACATAAGGTCAAGGTCAGGACAACAGGTAAGCAGCTAAATACAGACTTTGCCATTAGATTCACTAGCAATTTCCCCAGAGGTGGAAAAATCAGAAAACCACTCTGAATGTTAAAAGAAATTTATCAGCATTCCCAGTGAAGTTTCTCAGAAATTTCAGCATTCTCAGTGAAGTTTACTGTTTTCTTGGAAGATAAAATATAAAGCTGTGCAAAACAGCAAAGGCAGTGACAGCATCATGAGCACGAGGGGTAGCTCTTGTGCACTTTCCCTCTAAGTAGGTCAATTTTATTTTTTTTAACAGAAAATTATCAAACTCTGACATAAATACTTCTTACTATTGCCATTTCACAAAAAGGCTGCAAACCATAAGCTCTTCCTGTGAGGAAACAACTGCCCCTGCAGCTCCCTTTTTAGTTTACTGGCATCTTTAGCTGGGGTGAGAGGAGAAGCAAGATATGCCCCCAACAGTCCCCAAAAAAAGAAGAATCAAGGCCAAAGAATTGTCATTTCTTGAGCAACTCATAGACTTTTCATCCATATTATAGCAATTTTTCATGAGACTTTTCATCCATAGTCCAGCAACATTCTCCATTCCTAGCAGTGAGGTGCTGCTAATGAGGCAGGAAAATAAGCCTTTTTGCTAATGACACCTGAACAAATAAAAGAAGCCTTGCTTTCTAATAAAGCTTTTGTGATAGTTTAACATGAGGCTGCTTTCTTTTTCTATCGCTCAAACCCCACACATCTACAAAATAAGCAATCACCCAATGGGTTTCCTGTGGAAATTCACACTGTGGTTCTGAGACACTTAAGTAACATGACTGTTATATGGCTTGGCCTATAACAACTCACTTTGAATCTAGGTCAAGTGGTTTAGTTCTATTACAAGCCTCTAGAACTGAAAAAAAGTAAATTATCAGCTAAAAACCTATTTTTATGAGTAAAGGACTTTCAGAATCTCCAAGAATATGGCATTCAATGCCCAAGCAGTTAAGTTGATTTATGTATTTAAAAGGCTGGCACAGGACTATTATATTAGTACTAGTATTTAGTGTTCATCCTTTAATGTTCTCCTTTTAGAAAGTACCTTCTCTTGGTGTTCAATAAAGCCTTACTATGCAGGAGTTACACACCCCTTACATAGTTCCTTCATTATGGGTAATTAAAAAAATGGGTTTATGACCATTTAAGAATGGGAGGGCCTCAAAAATGAAACCTCTAGATGGGGCTTCACATTTCACTGTTTTCTTGGGTTTGGTAGATAATTTAAGAGCTGACCCAAAGCAAAGTGAATGAAACATAGACCATACCCTCTCAATACTGATACCCAATCATTTTATCCTAATACTGTGATCCGTTTGTGTGCATTTTACTTTGCCAAGCCAGCTGTACCATCAAACAAATCCTGGTAAGGTAAATTTAAGCTATAATTTCTGTTACTTTCCTCAATACACAAAACAAGTTTGGGGCTTCCTGAAGACTGGTGTAACTGGCATTAATGCACAATTTCACTTATCATTTGAAATGTCCAACACTACAAAATACCAAGTTCAAACCCAAAATGAAACATGACAGAAACAGATAAAGTAGGTAAAGGTATATTTTTTATTTTACTGGATCTAATAACTCTAAGAATCAGGAAAGATGGCCAACAAATTAACTTCAGGAAATTTTCTGTGAAAACTGATCCAGGAAAAATTAATTCTTTGTAGGTGTTGCACATGAGTATTTTAAGGTCACTGAAAGAATCACCAGCAAAGGTATCAGCAAAGTCAGGTTTAATATAAAAGTGAAAGCACGACAAAGTTTATTGACAAGGTTCGCTCTGCTATTTACTAGATGGTTAAAGCACACAGAGAAAAAGCAAACTAAAACCTCAAATCAATCAATCTAAGCCCCAAATCAACCCCAAAATTATCTATATGGAGTTTGGGGGAGGGTTGGAGGGGAAGGGTAAGGATAAGGATAGGAAAGGGTAAGAATAAAAAGGAATAAAGGGAGATCCCTCTCTTGAGCCACAAGGTTCAGAGTGGACCCCTCTGCCAAACTTAGTCCCAGATTGGACAGACAATTTAGGCTCAAAGGTTTAACAGCACTTAATCGATAGCTAAAGTTAAACAATTTAACAGATTACTAGACTTTACTATAGCACAACAGTAACTCACAGGCCTCACTTACAAATCTAGAGTACTTCAGAATGTCAGACAGCAAATTTCACAGTACATTTGCTATAGAATATTCACACTCACATGCACACAGACCTAAAGAGTATGTACAAGGGATATACCTGTGAATATATACCACCACAGTAGGTCAGGTTTTCTCACTCTTTCTGAAAATATGTTCTGCATTCAAATGCATTTAACAGCTGACTTCTTTCCCTACAACAACCTCCCACCTACCTCCACTCCTTTCAGTTTTCTTTTCTAAACCTGCTTTCTAGATGATTAGTAAGCCACTGAAACCATATTGGTAGAAATATAGAGGAATGCCTACCAGTTTATATTTTCAAGACAAAACTTTGTAAAACAGCATGCTGTAACTCAGAACAGAGGTGTTATGACCTCTAGTGTATCAGATTATTCCTTTTAATTTAGCTTCACTTCCTAAAGATTGTACTCCTCTTAGACCTACTTTAAATGCCTTTCTTCTCTTAGTTCCTCCAAATACCACTGCCCCACAAGACTATGGAAATCAGGAGGACTGCTGCGGGAACGGGCGGAGGGACTGACGGGCTGCTGTGCGGGAGCGGGCGGACAGACGGACTGGCTGTGTGGACTGGCTGCTGAAGGAGGGTCGTAGCGGATGGACTGGCAGGCAGACAGACCGAATGCTGCGCTCACGCCGCGCCTACCGAGGGACAAGGCGGTGGCGGCGCCGCCCCCGCGCTCCCGTTTGCCGAGCGCGCCTCCGCGCGCAGCCGCACTGCTCTAAAACAGTTTGTTGCTCACGTCGGAGAAAGCGCTTCCGTTTCCAACGACGCATTCCGGCCACACCTGCCCCTGCCCGTGCCCGAACCTCGGCTCGCTCCGCTGCCCGACCCGCCCGAGGAGGACCCCGCGCTCTGCCGCCCCACCAGGCCATGTCCGAGGAGGGTAAGGGCCCCGGGCGGCCGCTCGCCCCGCAGCGGGAGGCGGGCGGGACGCGGCGCCGCCGGGGCGCGGTGGACGCTCCCCCATGGTTCGGAGCAGCCCCAACGCCGCTGCCGAGCCGGCCGGGCCGCGCCCACCGCGCCCGTCGCGATTCGCCCGTTCCCGCGCGCCGAGCGCTGCCATTGGCTGTCACTCCTGCCCGTCGCCGCCGCGTCAGGGCTGGCGGGGGCGCGCGGCCGCGGGACCCGCTAGGCGGAGGGGCCCGGGCGCGCTCCCGGGGAGCCCCTGGCGATCGGGTGTTCCCCGGGGACACTCAGGGAAATTGGTGCTGTGGAGTAGGGTCGTCCAGCCACAGCTTGGCTGCCTCGTGGTGTAGGTCAGTGTTGGGGGGGAGGGGGAAGGTTTAGCTTTCCTTAGTCTTCTAGTGGCTGGTGAACGTAGTGACGAAATCCTGGGGAGACTTTGGGGTGGAATAGCGGGTTGTCGGCCCTGGCAGGTTCCTCCAGCGCTGCATTTACTCAGGTACAAAACCTGAGTACGGCAGAGATGAGTGAAAGTGAAAGCCTAAAGTGAAAGGCCTGACCTAAAGAGCTTCCCGTTGGAATGCAATGCTCAGTGCAATTTAAGTGCCTTAGAGGTGTATGGGTTTCCTGTACTTTGCGTCAAAACAGATTAGTTTCTGTCAGTTACATGCTGCACCTCGCCCTTCCGAGGAGTGATGTTTATACAGACTCACGTCAGTTTAAGCTCATTTAGCTTGTGGTTGCTGTCACAGACCTACCCACTAAAGAAGTTCCAGTTGTGTCTTGCTCAGATGCCCAATTTCCTTGTGTAACTTCATGGTTCAAGGAACTTTTCTGACTAAGAAATAGCCAGTTCACCGTGCAGTAATGCAAGTGCCAGCATGAAGTAGAGGGGTAGGACTGAGATGTAGGAGGGTGGGAGCATAGCAATCCTGATACACTCCTGGTTAAACAAACATGCGTTTGTTGATCCTTCTCCTTTGTCCTCAACCCTTTGGTCTGCTCATTGGCTTTGTCTGTAACTCAATAATCTTAACAAATATTAAGTCTGTACTAATTCTTGGCAATAGAAAAGATGTGTCGTTAATACTTTTCTTCAGTCAGAAGTTACAGTATGAGCTGAAATCTTGTTGAACATCAGAGGTCTCTGTGAGAGAGTTGTTTTACCTTGAGTTTTGGTGGTTTTGGCATCACAGTGATCCAAATATGAGACCTAAAGCCACAGGAAGTATGTTTTTATTATATCTCTCCATGGTATATGATTTGTATTTGCTTAACATTTGGTTCTGTTGTCTTAGTTTGTTGCAAATTTCACTCATGCAAATTCCGACAACAGCATTCTATATTAACTGTTGTTTCAGTGTTCAGAGACTGTTGATAAGCATTTTTATCTGTGCTAGAGTATTCTGATGTCTCTGATCCCTGAGAGTCTATCTAGATTTAGGACAAAACTATCAGAAGTATGCTAAATTCAAGGATGTGACTTGAAGTAGGTGCAGTCAATTTTTTTTTCTGAGTGCCATATTTAAGCATCTTTGTAAAATCTAGTTTGTCTTACACATAGCTTCCATAGCTGGCTGTTGCATCTAGGACTATTGAGATCATGATTGCATATATACAGAAACGTGTCTAACTGAACTCTTAGAAAATGAAGAAAACCCACTGGATTTCTGTGAAAAGTTTGATTTGGTGATTTTGCAAGCATCCATCCAGGAACTGTGTAGTAGAGGTTTGGATAGGATTTAGTACAAGTTGGTGCTTTCAGCTCTCTCATCCATGTCCCTTTACCATCCCATACTTGATGGTCACCTACATTTCTGTTTCTACAATAAGTGAGAGCATTCGTCAGGTAATGTCTGACTCAGTAGAAGTCCTTCCTTATCCCACTGGCTTACATGATGTATTTAATTAGTAACATACCTGGAGAAAGAAAAACAGTCTGTCAGCTTGTCTTCAGGCTTCAGCTGATGCATCAGATCTAGTTGTGTTTCTGTGCTCGTAGCTTCCATTATCGTGGTATGCAGAAATTTGCTTAAAACTCTCAGGTGTGTCTGCAGTGAGTTTGAGTTAATAGCCAAATGGTTACCTAAAGCTGTGATGGGATGATACTAACCCTGAAAGGCACTGGTGTCCCTGGACTCTCCGTTGTGTTGGTTCACTTTTTTGTGTATGTTAGTGTGTCACACGATAAAATAGAGCAGGATCTAATTGTGATCCAAGTTGATGCTAGCTGTCTCTCCTTTTGTGGGTTAGTTTAAATCCAGCTAAATTCTTTATTTATTTGAGTAGGGTTGCTTTGCTTTATTAATTTTGGTAAGTAACTCATAGTTGCTACAGTTTTTTTTGGCTTTTATGTTTTTGTTTTTAACTGCCTTTGAAAGATTCCAAGTTTTTTTTATTGTTTGTTTGCTTGATTTTAGTATTTCTATATGTTTAATACCAACATCTTTCAATCTTTAGATTATTTTAGAGAAAAAAATCATTCTTTCTATCTGTGACCATCAGTGTCCTGTGTGTGGTGTCGTTGTGTTTATGTCCCAATTTTCTTTATGTTGTAGTTTGTATTCATCTTTCATTTTAAGATTTCCTTTATCTGTATGAGAACAGCTATGTTCAGCAGTGGGTAATGGAAATTAAAAGCCCCAGGGATGAGGAGGATTTTGGCCACCATCTGAGAGGTCAAAAGTTTTGAGGGACTAATGCTTGTGGCTGCATTGCTTCTACATCATTGTGGAAATGTGTTGTAATCAATTAGATGTGGTTGGGGATTTTTGTTTTTTTTTAATCAAGGTGGCTTACCTTTCTGTATTTTCCTGTTTGGTTTATATTTACGCTCCAGCTGTGAGTTGCTGTAGCTACCAACTTTGGAAGCGCTTTCTGCTCATAGTCCACTGCACCATTGAAATTCTGATTTTAAAACTTAATGTCAGGGAGAGTGGTAGAGGGAAGACTGGGCTTTGTGTTCAGTTTAAACCAGTTGTAGAAACTCTCCTGACTTCTGATCATACTGGCCTTCCTTTAGTCCAGATGGAGCTGCTTTGATTTTGCCATCTCTTTGCTGCGTTCTGGTTCCACAGAATTTTTCCCTCTTCTATAGCCATTGCTCTGTCTGCTGTAGATTTGAGTGGCATAGTTGCTGATCAGGTAGGCTTCTTTGGCTGCCTTATTTCCTGTTGGCCAACGTGAGGCATGAGATTTGTGGCAAAGATTATGAATATACAGGTAAAGTCTGTACTTTGTAGGGTTGCATAAATAGCATACAACGTGTGTCACCCCCTCTATTTAGGGATAGAAAGATGATTGCGGGACAGCAGAGGCCCAGCTGTAAGTAGGATGTTTGTCAGGCCATGCACTAATCTGGCATACTGGTTGGGGAAGTTGCCAGGGAGGATTCTGATCCCTCCTGCTTCATTGCTGATGCCCTTTTCCTGACTCTTTGTTAATTCTCTTCCTAAGTAGGTAGAATACTAAATGATTGTCAACAAAAAAATTTGTGCCTGTGAGGCAGTTAATTAATTCAACACACGCTAATAACTCCTCATGTGAGCCTGCAATGAACTTCAATCAGTGAATCACTGAGGTGTTTTGCTAAAAGCTGCACCTAAATTAAGTTTGTGAGTAGTCCTGTTGTTTACTTTCTATGCAGCTGATGAAAACTGTCCAAAAACTGTTCTTAGTTGCAGCCTCAGCAGCATATCTTAGTTTGTGTCCACTCAGCTAAATTCCTTTGTGCTGGTCAGCTCTGCCCCAGGTAGCTTTTTGGCTTCTTTCACAACTATAAACAATGCTGTTGACTGTGTGGCAGTAGATGGGTGTTTCTGAACAGACCCTCAGTTAGGGCAAGTCTTTCCTAATCTGATGACAGCCAAATCCAAACCCTGCCTGTCTTATTTCTTTTGGATTAGGCAGGAGTATTGGCCAGAAGGAAAACTGAATGAACTGGGGAATTCAACTTAATTGAAACAGAGGGAAGAGAGCAGGATTTGGAGTGAATTGGAGATTAAACCCCGGACCACTGTTACAGTGGTAACAGTGAGTAAAACTCCACGCCACTGTTACACTCATACAGTTCCGATTAATTCTTGGACCTTGGTCCATCCTGTGCAATGAACAGGATAGAGATCTTGTGTTACATATAATTAGTGTGACATTATGCATGTGTGCTGGCTGAATTTAAGTTTTATGTCCTAACTTTAGTGGTTCACGGTATGGTTACTTCCATTAATTTGTTTCATGAAGAAAAAATTCCACTCCTTTCCTGACCCTGTCAAAAACACTGGATCTAGCAATAATAACTAATACAGTTATTCTGAAACAAGGACATTTTTCTCTTGATGTAGTGTGTTTAATTGGAAAAAATCTGGTAGTGCAGATTTGGTGTTCCTGTATGACATCTCCTTGACAGCTGATGTTTGGTTTGACCTGAATACCAAATACACGGTTAGGATTTGTAGAATGTTTTGTTTCAAGTGTGTTAAGCAAGGCTTATTTATGAAAGATTAATTTGGTCTGGAAGTTTCAGTATTTTTTTCATATACTTGAAAATGTAAATAGTGGACTTTGTAGAAGTTCTACTGGCTTATAACTGTTACTTTTGAAGCTGGACACTGTAGGAAGAATTGGGTACTAAGTAGTTTCAGGAATCCCACCAACTAAGCAATAGTAAGCTGCTTCCCTTCTATTGAGTGTTAAAACCTCAGTGTATATTTTTAAAAGTGACTTCGCATTTAAAATACCCTGTGGTACAATTGAGATCATGCTAGATGTGATACGGGCACTACAGTTGTCATCTGAAATGCAGAATGGTGTATTTTACCTTTTTCTCTTTCTGAATATGCTAATAGATTACATATGTGTGAAGTCTGAAGATGATGTTGAAGCAGTGATAATGGACCATGGAGAACATGGACTGTCTACACAAAACTGCATGTCAGTGGAACAAAACTGTGAAGCAAACAGTGCTGTTCACCACGTGGGTCAACTTGCCTATGGTAATTACTGATAATTTTTATTGTGATGTAGTAGTTAATGGCTAGTTTTAAGGCTGTGTGTTCAGCGCTGCTCTGTTGAATGCTTTCTATATTTGCCATACCTTTAAAACATGATTTATTAGAAAGCTACTTCAGACAAATTGCTTGGCAATGCATTTAAAAGAGGTATCTTTTAGTTATTACTTTACAGGTCTTTATAAATAGTGAACCCGCTAAAATATTTTGTATTATGTTATATACGATATATTACATTTTAAAAAGACAGCTTTTTACTGACTTATGAAGTAAATGTACGTAGGAATGAATTAGGAAGTAATTTGGAAAATAAATGTAATGGAAAAAGCTAACCTAAAAAATTAGGGTTTTAGATAAACTGCCCAGTGTAGTTTAGTACTGGAGTTACTGATAGTAAGATGGTTGTTTAAGGTCATAAATTATTAGCTATATGTAGCCTTTGGTGATTGTCTCAAATTCATTGTATTTATTTTAACATGCAAGATCAAAGTCTCTTAAAAATCTTAGCCCATGCTTCACTGGCCCAGACAAAAATCATTCATAGCTGTTACGAGCATTTAGTAATTCCAGTAGCAGTATTACCAGTGAGGAAAATGACTGGAACTAAGTGATGGCACTTACTAGTTTGGGGGATTTTTTTTATTATTCAGCCAGTTGACTCTATAGAGAATCCCATCAGTATTTATCTTCACAAAGGCAAGTTACATCTGTTTTCTAGTGTTGTTGGGTGTTTCTGAGAACCTTTAGTCTTTTTGGTCTTGCCTATGGATGCGTATCTGGCAGAGCAAGCTCAATATCACTGAGACATGGATCTAGGTCTTTATTTCTCCCCACCAGCTGCAGAACACTTTTATTTCACTTTTTTTCTTAGCCATTTATGCCCACAAACTCAGTATCACTTTTGCTGGCACTTTTTTTTAGGTCACTGTATTCAGGCCTATATCTAAATTTGGGAACCTCACCATGCAGACCATTAGTTTAACATAATAAACATAATATGCTTAAAATGTGATTTCAGGGATCTGGTGTTTCTCCAGGTGAAGTGGCATTCTGGTTTGGCTGCAGAAAGTGTATGAAATCTGAGGGACTGTATTGTGCCAGTGTGTTAATCCTGCAGCCCTTCTCCTTTCACCGTGTCCTCTTGCCTCTGTTGGTGTTGAGTGCTCTCTGTCGTGTCCTGGGCTCTCCGTTCTGGAGGTGCTGAGTGCTAGGAGATGAGTGCTGGCTTGGCCTGTGTGGCAGGCATGGAGGCATGAGGTGGTCTGGGAAAGGAACCAAATTCTGGAGCTGGTTGGGGGAGAGTAGATAGATTTTAATCTTCACCTTATGTATTTTTATTACCCGGTTTGTGATTTCAAAATTATGTTAACTATACTAGTTAAATCTACCACAGATCTTGCCTAGGTTGTATCTGCCAGCTCTGCTGCATTTGTCTGGGCTTTTAAAGCAAGGAAAATTTTTTTCTGGCTTATGATACTGGATATATTTGTATTTTTCTGTCCTGCTCCTGGCCCTTCCTCTTCTGCTGCATAGAAGAAATGCAGTTGTCTTTGCTTTTCAGTATTTCTCTTAGCTTGTCCCAGTCTCCTGGGATTAGTTTTCTCTTCACTTCTGAGATACTAGTTCTAGTTTCCAACTGGGACATGAAATTAGTTCCATTATTTTGCTAAAGTGGTAAGAAGTACCCTTGTACCTTTTCTCATGCAGCACCATTTATGTGGGAGGAATTTACTGTAGCTGTCCACAAAACTTCCTCACCATACCCTTTCAACTTGGCCTATGCCATCTGAAAACTTCATCATGGCAGAATAATATGATGGAGACTTGGTGTTGCCTTTTTATGCCAGATGCTCTTCTTATTATTTCCAAGGTCTTGTTCAGCTTCTTTATTTGTGTTTTAATATATTCTCTTTTCTGTATCTTGTTATCTATATAGTGCTTGGCCCATCTCTAGCTAAAATATATAGAATTCAAGGGGAAGTAGTTACTTTTGTCTGTTTTTCCTTCCTCTGCTCATAAGAGGATTTTTTATTTCTTGTTAAAAGAGCTGCTATAGCCCTTTCCTGAAAATCTGAGATAGAAACCTGTAACTGATGTATAGACAAATTTGGCAGTAGAACCCTTTCTCTTCCTTGTGAAAATCCTTTAACATTCTTCAATTCTGGCGGGTCTGGCAATTGTGTGGACTTCAAAAGAATTAGCACAGAGCTGATTCACACTGGTAATGACTTTTTAACTGTGCTGGGCCCACACGTGGAGAGTGGAGGCATTCTGTGTATCACTTATGAATGGTTTGTGTTTGGTAATCCCTGACCTGGAGCAGATCTTTTTTGTTGCACAGTGTTTCAGTATCAAAACTGGGGGGAACCCCATAAATGAAGGGGGGCGACAGCTGAGGACTGAATAAATGGGAACTGTGTTTTATATTGTGGGTGTATTGCCTGAATTTTCAGGGAGCTGGTTGTGTTGGGGTTTTGAATTGGACATGGAAATTAGAACAGAGAATCGAGGGAAAAGCAAGGCAAAATGAAATGGAGGCTGTAGAGACTTTGGAAGAAACAGTATTAAATTGAATTTTTCATTTCTGATCTAAATGAATTGGATTAATAAGTGTTTGAAAATATGTTGCTAAACAAATTTGAAATAGCCAAGCAGTTTGAAAGTTAAAAAAAAAATGAGGGTGACTGTGCCTGTTTTTACTGTAGTAAGATGTTAAATGCAGTGGGAAACTTGCTGATGCACTTTGCTTTCTCTTCACTTTCCTAGGAGGCGAAGGCTTACCAGTGCTGACTGATCAAATGGCTTCACAAATGAGCCATTCTACAATGATGCAGAGAGGAAATGGTCACAGCCCTGAAAAAGTGGATTTTGTGGTTTTGCGTAATAAAAGAAAACGAGTTTGTCCTACTGTAGTGGAACAGAATGCGGTATGTTTCTCCAAACAGTAGCTCTTGGTTTTGAGGCCAATTTCAATGTTATTTGAAATGTCACTTTTCCTTCACTCTTGTATGATCATTGGATGACATCCCAGTGAAGAAGATAGGCTGGATATCCATGCAGTGCTTGAATGCTTCTAGCAAGTCTCCAGTCTCTCATTCTGCAGTCTATATGCACATTCAAGGTTGCCCTGTCCCAGGTGCAGAATCCGACACTTGTCCTTGTTAAACTTCATATGGTTGGTGATTGCCCAGATTTGTCCAGATCTCTCTGTAGGATCTCTCTGCCTTCAAGAGTCAGCAACTGCTTCTAGTGTAGTGTCGTCGGCAAACTTAGTATTCCTTCGTCGGCATACTTAGTTAGTATTCCTTCTAGTCCTGCATCCAAGTCATTTATGAAGATGTTGAAGGGCACAAGGCCCAATTAAAAAGAAAAAATCTTGTTGATCAGGTAGTAGATGAAATTAACCAAAGTCCTACATCCCTTTCCCAAAAGCAGAAAACAGTTGATAGATTCAACAACTTTCATGTTCCAGAGCTTCTTAGGACCAAGGCTGTTAAACCACACCCTGTGGCAATACTGTATTTAAATTAAAAATCCTTCTGAGGGTTACTTTTGCCAATTCTACACCAGGATGGCACCAATACGTGTCACACGAAGCTCTGAGGAACCCCACTAGTGACAGGTCTCCAGTCTGATGTTCTCCCATTCACTGTTACTCTCTGTGCTTGACCCATGAGCCAATTGCTCACCCACCACAGGATATGTTTATCCAGCTGTGTGCTGGACGTTTTGTCCAGAAGGATCCTGTGAGAGACAGTATCAAAAGCTTTACTGAAATCCAAATAGATTACGTCAACTGCCTTCCTTCATCAACCACATGGGGTCATCTTGTAATAAAAGGAAGTTAACTCTAACAAGCAGGACTTCCCCCTCATGCTGGCTGTGACTGATGACTGCTTTGTCCTTCAGGTGTTTTTCAGTAACTCCCAGATAGTCTTCTCCATAATTTTACCAGTCACTGAAGTTCTGCCTGTTGTAAACAAAACAAAAGAAACACCCCCCACCCTTTCTTTTTTAAAATAAGACCTGATTAGTTTAAAAAATAGAAGAAAAAACCCTGAAACACCACCAGCAGACTCATTACACCTGCAGTGGATGGTGGATGGGAAAGGCACCCATCCAGTAAAAGAAAAGTCAGGATTGTCCAGGTGGTGGCGCCGTTCTTCCTGTATAAGAGCAGTTTACAAGCAGTGAGAAAATTGTCTCTTCTAGACATTTTTTACAGGTTCTGCTTGCAGTTATACCCACTGAGATAAGCACTTTTTTTAAAATGGTTTATTCAGAGTAAAAATATACATGAAGTCTCATAATTTAGACTCATATTAGAGTTCTTTCCCAATCTAAGTGATTCTGTGATTACATAAGCCTGGCTGTATAGTATGTATAGTTAAATGAGAAAGTTCTGGCCTTAGAATAACCAAATAAAAACACATATTATTTTATATGTATATATATGTGTGTGTATATATATATGTGTGTGTATACACACACACACACAGTCCCTCCAAGATACTCAGCTCCAGCTGAGTTCCAAGTTCCAGTTATTCTGTTGTTGTACCATGCCAAAAAAACTTAAAGGAACCAGAGGTTTGAGGCTCTGCTATGGCAAGCCCGTTGTCAAGTTGGTAAGGAAGCCTTGTCTGGCTGTGAAAGTGGGGTATGCAGGGAGTCAAGCTGGGCCCCGTCAGCTCACTGGAACCACCTGCTGCAAAGGGGCTTCAGTGCCAGCAGTGAAAGTCTCTGGTGGTGGAATGTGACTGACAGAGTGGTTCCCAAATGGTCAGACAGGAAAGTTTCCTTAACACAGCAGTACATAAATAACCAGACTGTGTTAAGTCTTGTTTTCTTAGGCTCTCCTGTAGCCAGGGGAGGGAATATAACTACAACTGAAAGTTTCCAAGTTGGATTCCTAGGAGGTTCTCCCCGCAGTTTATATTTTGAATACCTTCATTATTCAAAACATTACATGCTTTTTATGTTATTTCCCAGGTGAGAACCAGGGAAGAAGAATATGAAGATAGTGACAGTGTCATTTATGAGTATGAACCAGACTATGAATGTGTAAGTTAATTTTGTTTTGTTTGACTGACTTTGAAAAGCTGCTTTGGGATGTGTGTTTTGGGGTAGGCTGAAGTAACATGTGAGATTTGAGTTTGGGATTTATTTGCTTAATGTGATATCCTAAGCCTGTGTATACATTAGTAGCTTACACGCTGTTTTGTTTTGTTTTATTTCAATGAAAAAGGAGAGTATTGTATCTGAAGCTTCCTATGCTGGATATCAACAGATTACACTTATGGAGGTCCTCAGTTATTGCCAGGTATTTTTTTTCTTTATATCTGAAATGTCATTTAAACAACTTTAGTTAAACTTCAGGAAGATTTGTATTCTTTATGTGACAACCTGTGACTTGATCCTTTCCAATTGTTCACTTTTTAGTTGCCCACTTCAATATTTTCAATGAAAAACTACTCTCATTCATATTCTCTGAACTTTTCACACCATAGCTGGCAAGAATACTTTACAAATATTAAGCTTTTATACAAAATGTAAACTCTAGTGATTTACTGGGAGGACCTTCACAGTAATGGGAAAGATATGACTATGATACACACCCAGCTATTGAAAGTATGTATTGCTTGCCAGAGGTGTGCCAAAATTCTACTAGTGTTGTTTTTATGAGTTCTTTCCTTTTAACTTCTGAAGCAGTAGCATATGAGATTGAAAATAACCACACTGAAAGCTAAAAGCACCCCATAGTTATGCAGGTGAGCACTTGTGTGACTGGGGTCACAGTATAGAGTGAAAGACATTCCAGCTGTGCTTTAGGGAAGTCAATTTGTGAGTGGCTTTTAGCCAAGTGTGAACGTCTTATAAGTCTCCTTAAGCAATACATTCAAAAATGTGGTGGATGGAGGTTGACTAAGACTGTGTGAGTAACAGTCTTGCCAGTCTGGGAATGTGTGCAGTAACAAATAGCATTAAGGGAAACTATAGCCTCTTTTACTGCCTGCAGGCACCTTTCCATCTCCTTTACTCCACTGTTATCCCCTCCTCCCAGTGACTTTGCACTAGGGCTACATGAAGCCTTTTTATAACACCTGTACTGAGCTCCTGAGCTTTCTGTTATTTAGTCTGAACAGTCCCAGCTCCCTCAGCCTGTTCTCATAGGAGGGACATTCCCATCCCTTCATCCTTCATGGCTCTTCACTGGTCTCTCTCTAGTACGCCCATGTTTCTCTTGCACTGGGGAGACCAGAGCTGAACTCAGCACTTGACATATGGCTTCAGCAGTGCTGAGCAGAGTGGAAGAATCACCTCTCTCATCTTGCTGGCAATACTTTGCCTAATGCAGCCCAGGGTACCCTTCTCCACCTTTGTTGCAAGGGCACATTGCTAGCTCACATTAAACTTAATCAGGATCCGCAAAAGGATGAGGAGGTCCCAGATCCTTTTTTGCCAAGCTGCTTTTCAGCTGGGTGGCCCCTGGCATGTACTGGTGCCTGGAGTTGTTCCTTCCCAGGTGCAGGACTTTGCACTTCCCCTTTTAGAACTTCATGAGGCTCCTGTCAGCCCATTTCTTCTGCCTGTTGATGTCCCTCTGGACAGCAGCATGACCCTGTAGTGTATGAGCTGCTTCTGCCAGTGTGGTGTCATCTGCAGAGTTGCTGACAGTATGCTCTGCCCATCGTCTAGATCATTCATGGAGATGTTAAACAAGATTGCATACAATACTGACCCCTGGGTACTCTGCTAGTTACTGACCATCATCTGGACTTTGTACTGCTGGTCATCCCCCTCTTGGCCAAGCCATTCATCCATGTGCTGTCTGCTCATCCAGCCTGTATATCAGCAGCTTGTCCCTGAGGATCTTACGGGAAATAATGTTCAAGGCCTTCCTCAGATCCAGGTAGACAATGTCCACGTCTCTACTCTGATCTAGCAGGCCAGTCATTTCAAGGTAGAAGTTTATCAGATTGGTCAAGAATAACTTCCACTTGGTGAAACCATGCTGTGACCGCTGGTGGTATTCTTGTCATTGATATGTCCAGAAATGGTTTCCAGGGTAGCTGCTCTATTACATTCCCAGGGATGGAGATGAGGCTAACTGGCCTGTAGTTCCCTTAGTCCCTTTCTTTGCTGCTTTTCAAGATAGGAGTGACATTTGCTTTCATCCAGTCTTTGGACACTTCTCCCATTCACGTTGGTCGATCAAAGGCTGTCAAGCATGGCCTTGCAATGTCATCAGCCAGCTCCTTGAGCACTTGTCAGTGCATGCCATCAGACCCCTTGGACCTAGGTGTGTCTAGTTTGCTTAAGTATTCTCTGACCAGATCCTCTTACACTCAGTGCGTGTTCCTTGGTCCAGCCTTTATTGCTGGTCTCTGGAACCTGGGATTCTGGAAGGCCAGTCTTGCTAGTAAAGGCTGAGGCAAAGGTGACATTGAATGGCTCAGCCTTTTCTGTTCTTGTATCACTGGGTCGCCTCTCTCATTCAGCAGTGGGCTTGCACTTGCCCTATCCCTCCTTTTGTCACCTGCATACCTACAGAAGCCCTTCTTCTTGTCTGTGGCATCCCTGGCTACATTCAGTTCCTTCCAGTTGGGACTTGACTTTACAGACAGGATTTTTCTAAATATTTCCCATTGGTGTTAGAGAAATCAATATTTCAGTGGCTGCCAGTAAGGCTTTTACCTGTGTGTTTGGAAACTTATTAGGACTTAAAATAGTGTATCGTAATACCTAATGTGCCTTAGAACTTGTCAGAAACTTGTCAGTGTATCATAAAACATGAAAATAGGTACAAATAAAATATCTGCTGGAAGCAGTAAGAGCAACCTTCAGGTGCCAGCTGTGTTAGAGTCACAAGAGTAAACTTCTCTGAGAATTCTTTTTACTGTAATATTTACCACTGTTACTTGCATTTTTTGTCTAAATTGATTTTTAATACGATTACAGAATGTGTATATTATCTACAGATCTTAGCCAGTTTTAGGGAGGGAATTTAGCTTTTAATTGAACTTTCTGGTTTCTTTAGATTTAGTTTGGGTTCTTGTGAAACGGTACTGTTTTCACTCTTACATTTGTCAACAGGCCATGTATGATGCCATTCAGAAATTGGATAAAAAATTTGACGTTCTTCATCGAAAGGTCTCGGAAATGCAGCATACTCGTGTAAAGCCACTGTTGCTAAAACCTGTGAGTATTAAAGACCTAAGACATTTATTTTTTCTTTAACTCACTCATTTCCTCTGATGCTTATTTAAAAAAACAACTCCTTCACTAAAATTAAAATTAGTAGCAAAGTAGTAGACTTAGAATCTATTTCAATTAAATTACTTGAGATTTCTTACCATCTGCCAGCTTCTGTCTCCTGTGTTGTTATTGACTGGTGGTCACAGATTGATAGTGGCCCCCATCAAATCCAGGATGCTGTGATAGATGCTGTAAAATTCTATTTGTATTGGAATGATCAGAAATTAATTGTGTTGGTACATCTTAAACTTCAGTACATTGCTCTTGCACCTTTGCAACATGTGATGTGTTGTCTTACTGGTTTCTGCAGTTAAAAGAAAGTTTAAGCATCGGTCAGGCTGGTTCAATTGACTAACTGATTTTTAGATCTCAACAATGTGTTGTCATATCCATTACAGTCTAGAATTATTGTTTTTCTTAGTAAAGGCACCTTTTTCAACATTTTTAATAAGGTTTGATATTGAGTGCACGCTATTCATTTTGTTCCTGAATGATCAATCCACTGTTAACTAAGGAGACACAATGTTAGTACTTCTAACAACGCTCTTTAAAAGGAAAGCATAACACATAATTTTTGAAGAAGGTCATAAAATCCATAATGACCTTTTTTGTCAATGATACCGCAAAGCTTTTAATGTGGCAGAGGTGATCCTGCTGTCAGGAGATGTCAAGACAGGAGTAAGGCCAGTTGCTTTAAGGGTGGGTAAAAGCAATGAATTTCTCATGCATCTCAGCTATCAGGAGGATACTAGGTTTTATTTGGGATGTGGGGTTTTTTTCAACTCCAAGCTTTTACTGCCCATGCATCCAAAACCATGAGATCCAGGGAATAAACTGATCTTTTCACCTACACATGAACCCTATGAGACCTCTGTGCTCTTACCCTCCACTCTGATCATGTGGGATGGCAGCTGCTTTAATGTTTGGCCTAAAAGTGACCTGCACTGCCTTTTTTTTTCCTCCTGGGTTTTATCACTATAAGCTTGTAGGATGCAATCTGCCAGCTGTTTAAAACCAACAGGAATGCTGTTGGGTTTTTTTGTAGCTGTACCATTGTTGTATCTGTGAAGGACTAAGCATATAAATAAGGAAAGGTTTGTGGTAAAGGTATGTTTATTTTTTTATATGAATTCCAAAAGCTGGAAAAACAGCCAAGCTTTCAGATACATAAGCCTTTCTTCAGGTCATAGATTTTTTTAATGTTACAAGGGTGAAATATAATGGGATTTCTGTAAACAAGCAAACCAACCCACCAAAAATTAAACAAAATAAGAAAAACAAACCAACATGTGTCATCTACATTTGGTGGCTACCGACTTGTGTTTTGAAGTAGAATACATGCTTTAGGGATCATATATTTTTTGATAAAAGTACTCAAAGTGGTGAAAAACTTAGCCCATCTCTCAGTTTGTCTTAGTTGGAATCTTCCATTGTAGATGAGATCTGCATGTTTAGTGTTTTCAACTAGCAAGTAAAGAAAGAAGAAAAAGCAAATTTTTTTTCCTTCTTTGAAAGGAACCTAGCGTGGCAGTGAAGACATCCTTTGAAAATTCATCAGACTGGGTCAATGGCTGAAAAATTTTAGATTTTATTTTGCCTATTTACCTTTCTATAGAGCATCTTTAAGAACCTTTACAAAGTTTTTCTCATTATATATTTGTCTAGAAAGCAATTATGCCATCACCCCATGTGGAAAAAATTGAGAAACATTCAAGCTTATCAGATAAATTCTTGGTGTTGCAACTACAAGTGAGAATAGAGGAAAGCAGAGGGAAGGCTAAAAAGTAACAGCTCTGAGTTAATGACAGTGACTACTTCAAGGGAGAGTATGCTGCCAATAGCATAATTGCTAAAATTTAGTTTTCCTGGTTTGCTAAAAAGAAAATAAAAAATGACCAGCTATGTCTAATTTAACCTTTTAATTGTTTTCTGAATCACGTTTCCAGAAACCAGTTGGATTTTCATACAGAAGTTCCAGTCATTTGCCCCAAGGAAAAATAAGAGTACAAAAATCCATGGAAAGGGACTTAAGTCTTCATCTCTCTTCACCAGGCCAGGGAAGGCATAGTCCAGTTGTAAGGGTTCCTTTACAAAATGGCCATGCTCAAGTCAATTCCACAGTAAAACATGCTCAGCAGAGTTTTCAGTTTGAATCACAGCAGCCTGTTGGTAGGCAGAGCCCACCACTCCCCACTATAGTTTCAACACATTCATTGCATTCATCATACACAGCAACTAATGAGATGCCTGACCTTTCACCACAATCAAATCTTGCACCCAGTATTGTGGAAAGTACTGTCAACGTTGCATCTTCACCAGTGGCATCATCATCGATGCCAGCACCATCTGAGCCCAGTCAAGAAAATAATGCTGCAGTGGAGAACTACAGAAATGCATCTGGGGATGTGAATATTAGTGAAGAGCTACCATCTTCCTCAGTCTTCATCGACCCTAGCTTTGGTGAGTTCCTTCGTGATAAATATTCCAAACAAAGACTAAAAAACTGCTACTAGTATTAAAAAGATATGCCTAAAGAAATTTCATTATCATAATTTAGCAAAAATAAAGGAGCAGAACTGGCTGACTGACACACATTTCTGTAATGGAATACTGCTTAAAACTCTTGAAACAAAGGTCACAGGAATGTTTAATATACCAGAGATCACTTAAAAACCTCTGCGGTGCACATACAGTTGTATAGACTACTACAAGCCTTTGATTCACAGTAGGTGGTTTGGGTTCTTTTAAGACTAGACCCTCTTTTTCTCTCTTGAGACACTCTGTATAGTTCATAAGTAATGTATGCATGCTATGCATGTGTTTAAAAAGGCAAAAGAGATTGCCACTAAAGCTCAGTGAGGCATATGCCTGTAGGCACATTTTAAGAAAGCAGTTTACCTGATCTGTGTGAAGGAAATACCTGTTTTCTTCTCATGGAGGATTTTATCAGTGAAACATCCTTTCTATACTCAAATCCTCCAGTGTTTGGTTTATTTTACAATACTTAATTCCACAGAAAAAGAATGATTCCATGGATCATTGCATTATAATAAATATGCACATATAAAAGTAGCACTGTGTCTTAAAAACTAATGTCTTTGTAAAGTATAAATGCCCTGACTTATGTGGAAGGCTGAGCTATGAGTTTTTTGTTGCTTTTGGTGTAAAAAATAAGTTCATACAGCTGAAGAACTGCGTGAATAGTAAGTGAAATACTTGGATATCTATCTACAGATTTGTAAACCATGTATGTTTTAGCAATACTATGTATGGATATGCCATTCTTCATGAGTCATTGTCTTGAAAACGTACAAGGTATCTGCACCTGTGTAAAATAGGCCAGCGTGAACATTGTGGATTCTTGGGTGTGTAATGTATCTTCTTGGGTGTTTTGATTTCAGTTTGTTATGTTGGTGGTTAATGTAAATAGGGACCCCTGGTGGCCTAGTGGTTAGCATGCAGGACTCTCACTGCTGTGACCCAGGTTCAATTCCCCGGTCCCTCGGGCAGATGGAGCTCGTTAGCCCTGTGAGGCCATCCATCTATGAGAAGGTCACTCTAAACAAACCTATGTCCTGAGGACCTCACTGCCATTGTCCATCGCTTGGCCCCGGCAGATGAACCTTAGGATTAAAGGGTGGGCTCAGTTCAGCGCATGCTGTGTCTCACCTAAAAAAATCCATTGCGCAGGCTTGAAAGGTAAAAGACCTTTCCCAAAATCTTCGTTCGCGAAGACTGGCCATTATTATTATAATGTAAATCAAAAAGATATTTCTGTTACCGTTCCAATTTAAAGCTTCTTTTGGAAGAGCAAAGATAAGTAATAATATGTAGTAGAATTAACTATAGCGAAGAACATATTCTGAGAGTACCTTAGAGGTCAAGAGAAAGAGTTTGAAAAAGTGTTCTGTTTTTAACAAGTTGCTTGGGATTTTTAATTCTTTTTCTTTAATTTTTTTTTGTTTTACAAAAGAGTTTGTTGGTGACCCAGCGAGAAACGTAAAAGTTCTTGGAAACGATTTGGTGAAGGCTCGGCAAAAGACTAAACCGAAGTACGCCGCGCGCTACCTGGTTCGTGTCCTGTTCCCCAAGAAAACACTGTTGTGCAGCATTATGGGAGCGAGTGCACGAGGGCGCAGGACATTGGATCCAAACAAAATTGCTGCAATAAGAGGTATGTTACCTTTCAAAATGCACAGATTTACTTCTTTAATACTTAACAAAGTTTTTAACTTACAAGAAGTCCTTTTCTGTATGTTTCTAGCATTGTCTAGCAACTGGCGAACAGATAAATGCCGTAGTGGATGTGCTCCACTCTGCAGTGTCTTTTTGTTTTGAAAGTCCTACTTTGTAATTCTCATTGTTCATGTTTCTTCAATGTGGATAAAACAATTTGTATTTCTCTTGGTTTTGTGTACTCCACGTTCATCAGTCATACTCGCTCTCTCTAAATTTTTTGTTGCAATTTATTTTGTGTTTGCGTGTGGCATGGGTTTTGTGGGTGGGTTTTTTTGGTTGGTTAGGTTGGTTTTTTTTATGGTCAGGGTATACTTGGGACAAACATTAACGGGTGATTTTTAAATACTCTTTCTCTTATGTTCAGTTCTCTAGATTGAGAAATGGTAAAGATGGGGAGGGTATTATTTTTTTAAAATGTCAAGCCATTTACACAAATCCCATGGTATGTATGTGTTATGGGGTTAAAAGAGTGAGATTATATAAGATGTGAAATGGTTGCAGCATTACCCTGTCTCTGTTCTTTGTGGGCTTCTTTTGTTATTGTTGTTTTTGAAGTTTTTTTTGAAATTAGTATGATAAATCACACATTTCCCCCAATTCTACCAGGAAATACTTTATATAATAACATTATTCACAACACCTCAAAAAAGTATCATTGAACATCTTGAATTCATAATGCTGCTTAGCTTCAAAACATGAGTTTACTGTCGCTATTTGTAGATGGAAATCTAAAGCTTGTAAATGGAGAACGGTAAACATGAAGCATTTCTTAGCTTGTGTTCTCTTTCTAAATTAGAATACTTCTAAATGCCATTTTATGTCATGAAACTTTAAACATTTTCTATATTTTATTTGTAGAATTTCTGGTAACTAACTTTCCAACCTATGATTTGAGTGAGCATGGAAAAGACTGGAAAACCTGTATCACAAATGTCAATGCTATGATCCGCTGTTTACGCTCTGAAACAAAAAGAAACTCAGGAAGTTCTGTTAAGGTGATAATTTTTTAAGTACTAAGTTTGTGCATTTTCTCAGATTAATGATTTGAATTCCTCATCATGCAAGTGCTCTAATTGGAAATTCCTTGGGTTCTGTCTCTGTGTTGCTCAGCACAGGCCTGCTGACTGTAGTGCGAGTTCTGTGTGGGAATACTGGAAGCATGTGCCTTTCTCTTGCTCTGCCTCTTCCTGTTCCTGCATCCACTGTTCAGTTAAGAGATGTTTAAGCATAGGATATGAAAAGGAAGGCACTGCAAATGTTGCCCAGACGTAGTGTCAAATTTGATTGAGAGGTTAAACATGTAGCCGGTAGCACTGTTTTCACAAGCTTTTCTTTCAGAGATATCCAGCCATGCCTTTATGTTGACTGAAAAATAACTCCCAAAACACCTCCATTTACCTCTGCTTCTAAAATGCTCTTTGCATATCTCTGAATATTTATTACCTGTTTCACCTGTTATTTTCATGATAGAAATTCAGGAGTAACTATATTGTAAATATCTGAAAGCTAATTTATACTAAATGGGATATAAACTGGAACACTAATTAGAAAACTGGTAGGTTTCTCCTGCTGCATATGCTAACCTCATTTAATGTTTCAGGAGACAACTGAGGGGAAAGAAAAAGTAGCTGATGCTCCAGATACATCTCGTTGTGTAGATTTAAGTTATAATGAAGATAGTGGAGGCAATTCACAAAACTCTCAGAAAATGACCAGCTCCACAACTGACACATCACGGAATTCAGGATTGGATAAGTTTCCAGAAGCTTTCCACACATCTTCAGTCAGGAAACAACAGTGTTTGGAACCTATGGGTAAACTAAGAACTTTCCATTTTCTGGAATTGTTTGTTATGTTTTAAGTGGTCAGTGATAGGCAAAAGATGATACTGTAGGTGTAATTATGTAATAAAGGGATTTTCTGAACTATGTGACTCTTCCTCTTAAGGCAGTCATATGGTATATGTATAGTAAGTCTTCAAGGGAGCAAACAAAAGCGTTATCTTGCTAATAGAACATATGTCTGTCTGCATCTACCAGTGTCCTGTAATGCATATCCACTGTAAGACTGGAAAATTCATCTTCAGATACTCTGTTCAGTTGTCCTAGCTTTTTTCTTTTATTTGGTAGGTATTGTACTTTAAAGGAGTAAGCTAGCTCAGAACATCTATGAAATGGTATTGCAATTTCAGAAGAAAAGCACACCTTTCTGTAAAACTGACTCTTTAGGACAATAAAAACCTTAAAGCTGCCTTTATATTTTTAATGAAAGTAAAATATACTTTTACAATATACAAATGCATTGTGAAAAAATCCATGTACAGCATGGCATAGAAGGTCTCAAGGAAAATGAGCTGAGGTTAGTTGCCCTTGGAGATAATTTATTTGCTTAGAATCACTTTTGGTCTGTGTCAGATCTGCTTCTGCACCCAACATTTGTTAGTCTGATCCCACAGATCTCTTTTTTTTTTTTTAGTGTTCGTAGTGAAGTCAGATTGAAGTAGTTATTCACTCTTTTTCTGTTTCCATTTACAGGATCTAAACACCACTGAAATAGCAGAACTTTTTTTTACTTATGTAATTGGAATAGCATAATCTTTTCATGTAAGATGAAAACAAGTTAGAAAACAATCATTAATAATGCAGGTTATATTGCTAGCATTGCTGAAGACCTATCAGAAATACTGTTACATGGTTGTAAAACAGGGTTTTCTGGCTGCTTGGACATTTATCTGCAATATGTTTCATTTTAGCATTAGCTGTAGTGTTGTGGTTCTGCTCTGTTCTTTCCAAGCAAGTAGAGTAGCTTCAGGGTGAACTTATGGTGTTAGTTTTGGTGTAATACAGCCACTTTGAACCATGGTCAGTGTTGGATGAGTAAAATATCTCTCTTCCCTTCCTATCATCTTTTCTAGAACCTCTTGGGAGTCCGTGGCGCAACGTCCAGTTGCCTTTCTCAGTCATTTACGTAGCCAAGGGGAAGACACGGCCAGAGCTGTCAGCTCGCTACCTAATTCGTCATATGTTCACTGAAGATGTGCTGGTAAAAAGCAATGTATATGGTAGTCTTGATCGTGGCATGAGCCCCCTGGATTCCAACAAAATTAATGCTCTCAGAGGTAAGAAAATCTCCGTTCAAATGGTAATTTGGGGAAATTAACAAGAGTGATTAACTTTATATCCTATAAACAAAGCATGAAACCTGAGAAATTAGTCTGTGAAACCATTCTGACAGGTATTAGTGCCAGCAGTGAAACAGATAGAGAGGATGTAGACGGAGTTATATTTTAGTAGCTCAAGAAATTCTCCAGATCACAAAGCTGGTTCATGTGAAAAAACTCCATTTCCATGACATCTGCTTAAAAGGGCAACGCAGTGGGAGATGGAAGCAGTGGTGGACATCTGGGATGATTTCTTAATATAGGGGCTAGGTAGATCAAGCAGAGTTGTCATGCATAGCAGGTTATGGTACCCTTCATGAAAAGGTTTGATGTGTGATAATTGGTGGCAGTATTGCCTGGAGAGACTACAAAATCCTGGACCTCAAGATCCTGAGTAGAGTAAAAGGTCTGAGTAGGTTAGGAGAGCAGACTTCGGCTTACTTGAGAAACTCTCAGGTGGAAGCTTGTGAGAGACTCCTTTAAATAGGAGAGAAGCTCAGGGAAGTTGATAGGTCTTTAAGGCAGCATTCTGCAAGCACAAGAGAGTCCATCCTGACAGGAGAACTGGTAGAGCTATGGGGAGACAAGTTTGACTAAGCAGGGAATTTATGACTGACATCTGGAGCAAAAAATTGTTTATGGAAATTAGAAACAAGGAGAGCTTTTGAAGTGAAACTTAGTTAACTGTTGTGATTTAACCCGTCAGGTAGCTGAACACCACACAGCTGCTTGCCCACCTTCTTCCTTCCTGTCGTGTTCTCCCTCCCCATCCCACTGGGATGGGGGAGAGAACTGGGGAAGAAAAAAAAAGAAAAAAAAGCAAAATTTATGGGTTGAGATTAGACAGTTTAATAGGAGAGAAATGTAAGGGAAAATAATAATAATGATGATGATAGAAGAATTAGATTATGGAAAACAAGTGATGCACAATGCAGTTGCTCACCACCTGCTGACTGATGCCCAGCCCCTTCCCAGGCAATGACCCCAAGCCAGCTTTACCCCTAGTTTATATGCTGAGCATGAGGCCATATGGTATGGAAATATCCCTTTGGCAGTTGGGGTCAGCTGTCCTGGCTGTGCATCCTCCCAGCTTCCTGTGTCCCCCAGCCTGCTTGCTGGTGGGGTGGTGTGAGAGGTTGAAAAGGCCTGGACTGCTTAGCAACAACATCAGTGTGTTAATCAACATTATTCTCATCCTAAATCCAAAACTGTACTACCTACTAGGAAGAAAATTAACTCTATCTGAGCTGAAACCTTGCCTGGGAGCGTTGGAATAGTGTTGAAAAAGCCAAAGCTCACCTAAAGTTGAGATTTGCAAGGAATGTTCAGGAAAGCAGGAAGAGCTTCTTCCACAGCATTACTGTGGGATAGTGCTCACTGAGTTAGTAAGGTTGCATATTTGACTAGTTACCTTCATCTAGAAGACACTCTTAACATGATACTAGGATACTATGGGGGATATGATTTAGTCTTCGGTAGTTTTGCAAGAAGCAGGGAGTTGCACTCTGAGCCATATGGGTCCCTTCTGATTTGTTCTGTGATTCATCACACTTTTTTGCAACATGGATTTCCTAACAAATCTTGGAACTGCTTGTCCTCCATGTCTGGAATATAGGGAGGTTGAAAGGGTTGTTAAGATCCAGACAGTGCATGCTAAGAGCTCCACAGGTGTGGCACGACTGCGTCTCAGGCTACAGCATTGAAGGTTAATAAAATGAAGCTGTCCTGTTTTGGTAGCACACACTTGTTTTGGCTTAATTACATCAAAAGAGAGTATATAGCTTGCATAAATAATTGATAACTCACTATTACATACTTGTTTATTCTTAGACTTCCTTCAAGAGAATTTTCCATCCTTTGATCTAAATGAGAGTGGATTTGATTGGAAGGCATGTGTGGCTGCCATAAACAGCACAATCCGCAGTCTCAGACATGAGCTTAAAAAGGCTACGGTTGGAATCCGCCAGAGAGCCTTGGCAGTGCCATCATCGAGTGCAGAGTCCTCCAAGGAATCCCGCTCCAGTAAAGCCAATGGAAAGTAGCACTATCATGTCACGGATTGAAGCCCTCTATATCTGTCTCAAATCTTAATTCATCAGGTTTTTATAAATTCTGTGTAAAAGCCTGTAAAATTGAGTTGTCCCATTAAACCGAATTGTCAGCAGCGCTTTATAGTATCACTTCATGAGACCAAAGTTAGCAGAAGACTTGGGAACCCTAACTCCTTGTATAAGTAGCATTTGTACTCCTCAGAAATTACTTTCACTGTTCCTTGTCGCATTTGCAATGTGCTCTATCTTAAAAGCATCTTCTCATGATTCATTGAATCTGAAAGATTAATCTGATTAGAAAAGATGCACTGTGCATCAGGTCAACAGAAGCAGATGGAAAAGAGAAGAGGAAAGAATGATCCTTCTTGAAGGATGAATCATAGCCAGCTAAGTTATCTAATTACGTGTGAGGAATGAAATTTGCTTTGTCAATTGGATATTTTAAGCAAAAATATTGGAAAGGAAAAATATTTTTAATTGCATTTAGTTAACTTGTATCTGGACTTGATCTTGGGGGTGTTTCCCAACCTTAATGATTCTATTTGCCTCCTGTAGCAGACTTTTTTGTAGGATAAGAGGCAGACAACCATGTAAGTACAGTTGGAGTAGTGCTTTGCTCTGATTTAGCTCTACGAAAGGGCAAAAAAAGCACCCAGAACAAACAGTTCAGTGATTTGTTGTTCAATGGAAACTGTTTTTCCTTGATGAAATGTAAAGGTAATACTTTCTCCAGGATCCTGAACTCCACTATACGGTCTCTGTTACGTGTTTTTCCAGCATCAGGCACTGTCCTCCCAGTGTCCATGTACTGGCAGACTGGTGTGTGAGTTTGCCTTGCCACTTGCATCATGTCTGAGCACAGTCTCAGAGGTCCAACTTCTTCACAGAAAGAAGCTGCTCAGAAGACTGGCACAGAGAACCGATTTTACCTCTGAAATTTGAGGCAAGGGTGGCTTCCAAAATTATGGCTATGTACATAGCAGAACTGTCCTCTCCTAGGCAAAGATTTTATAGTTTATTTGTTAGCAATAGCATAAAACAGTGAAGTTTATTTATTTTCACTTCTGTTCGTAACACGCAGTATTTATTATATATAGCTTAGGACTGGCTTTTTAACTGTAAATTAGGATATGCAATGGCCTTATCAGATACGAAATTAGTAATTTAAGTTCCCCCTGCCACCTCCTTGCAGAAGTCCTCTGTATGAATCAAGAAGTAGGCTGAATTTCTGATTTTCTCTTTTTACTAGAAATGTATGGCAAATTTGATTGTTCTGGTGTGCTACTAACAAATTTTTCTGTTACTGATCTATACAGTCAGTATTTGCCAAGAACTTTGGTGTGTGTAGATATTACTAGTTCGAAACCTTAGAAAAAGCTGAAAATGCTTATATTTTTTCAGTAGTTTTATGACTTTTTTTCACTAGAATTATATATTTATTGAATGATCTGTTTGGCACTGAAATCTGTAAAGTGTGGTGCATACCTATTGCTTCCGTATTGAAAAGAGAATTGAATAATTGAATCAAAGTAGAAATAGTTTTCTTATTTCTGTTTCAAATGTATTCATTTTTGCTAAGTTTTATAAGATAAAATTACAGTATTTTGCTGTTAGGATAAAATATTTTACAAATAAAACCATCACATATAGCTCCTTGACTACATATGTGTGTCTTGAGTATTTCTTGTTACTGTAGATCTACAGTTGAAGTACAGTTTCATTTGAAAGATTCTTCTGATCTCCTTTAAAAACCCAGGGCTTTGCGATATCTTCTGATTGAGGTGAGGTGATTTCCAAATTTAGACAGCCTTAACTGATTCAGTAAACCAAAGCAAACTCTTCTGGACTTGACTTCTCATTTACAGCTGTGTGTGAGCTCTCTAAAACAGAGATTTCCACAAAAGCACAGGAGTTCAGTAAAATTTTTAAGAAAGTCCTTTAAACTGAACTGATGAATTCTGAGTAGATGAGGCCTTATTCATACAGTGGGATCAGTTTCTGTGTTAGTCCTTATTCAAGGAATAAAGCAGGACTGGGAGGCAAACTGTTCATTTGAAACAGAGTTCACATCCAGGTGAGGTGAATCACTGCATGCTCGTGGCTCACAAATTGATGCAGTTGTTCACTGCACTTCATGTCAGGGAGAACTTAATGTGAGGGAGAGCAAGCTGGGGCCAAGCAGCAGTGCCATGCCCTGTCCAAAACAGTGCTCTGGGCTGGGGTGGTGGCTGGCAGGGACACTGCCCAGGCCAGAGGAGACAAGGTGACCAGTTGGCAGCAGCAGAGCCATCACTGCAAGGTGGGTTTGAGTTTCTTGCAGGAGCCAGGGCTGAGCAGGACTGGAGACTTGACTATGAGCAGGATGCCCTGGTTCCCCTGCGCAGAAAGGGGGGTTCAGGGAACAGGGCTGGCACATCCAGCCCACAGCATAGCCCTGCAGGGATGATGGCAGGCAGGTCTTGGCACAGGTGGCCAAGAGGGACAGGGCCAGGTTGCTCGAGGCACCTGGGGCCTCTTGGTACCCCCTTTGGGCTCTGATCCAAATTTTTGCAGGTTTCACAGCATGGATGTAAACAATCCATCTTGCAGATGTGTTCAGCTCTTGTAGCCAGAACTCATCCCCTAGAACAATATCAATACTTGCTATTCTCTTCAAGTGTTTATTCAGATCATTTGATGAAAGTGTTCATAGAATTTTAGAATAGGCTGTAGAAGTAATAGATATTTGTGCCATTCTTTATCTGTATTTTTTATAGTTGTGGACACGTGATAATTTTGTAGTTCTCTTGTACAATCACCGTTTTGTCAGTGTATGGTGCAATGATGTCTGCGCATGAAGTGCAATGAGAACTGCTGACTTTAAATGCCACCTCAACTACAGGCTTATGTAAGTATTTAACTTACAACTGCAGCATAGATTTTTTAGTTTTTTATTACCGCTCTAGTCTTTGCCCTCAAGTGATGAGGTGACATTGATCATACTACTCCACGAAATTCACTTCAGCAATGGAAGCAGGGCATTTACTCGCAAGTGGATTGAAGGGCTATAGCACCACCTACCGAGAGCCAAAAGTTTTTCTGAGAAACTGAAAACCTCCCTGACTGAAACAAGCACGAAATATCCTGACAGAATGACGCAGTTCTGAGAATTTGATTGGTGCTCTCACTGAAAATTTGAAGTTTCACTTTTAGCTGAGCTTTATTCTTTTAAGCTAAGTCTTTCCTTTTAAAAATTATCTAATTTGAGTTGGGATTGTTTGTTCAGTGAGATGCTATTTTTGTTTTAGTTACTTTTAGCATTATCTGTAAGTCTTTAACACAGGGGGCTGTATCTCTGAACGTCCCCTCCTTCCTTCCTTCTTCTTCCAGCTCTATATGCTGAGCATGACACCATATAGCATGGGATATCCCTGTAGCAGTTGGAGTCAGCTGTCCTGGCTCTGTCCCCCCTCACTCCTTGTGCACCCCCAGCCCTCTCCCTGGTGGAGTGGAGTGAGGAACAGAAAAGTCCTTGACCGTGCAAACACTGCTCAGCCAGAGGGAAAATGTGCCTGCATTATCAGGCCTGTTTCCAGCACAAATCCGAAACACAGCCCCTACTAGCTACTGTGAAGAAAATAAACTCTGACCCAGCCAAAACCAGCACACCCATTGAGGAAGAGAATTCCAGAGCCATCAGCAGGCAGGCAGAGGCTTGGAAAACTCCCAGAACTGTGTGAAGTGACCACAGGCTATACAGAAGGACATCTTTCTGCCTGTAGTGTCAGGTTTCAGAAGGCAGTATAAGTATATTGTAGGCCAGAAGACATTTAAAAATATCATTGGGTACCTAGTTGGACATAGGAAAGTTTCCAATTACATGGCAGAGTAACTAACCAGCCCAAGTAAGAGGATTTGTAAATGTGGGAGGTGGTTATATCCCAAAATATTTGGGCAGGTGAAACTTAATGAAACAAACTGGTGTTCTAGCTTTGGGAAGACCAGAATGATGTAGTAGTGAAAGCATACTAAGTGCCAAAAAGATCTGGGGAAAGGAAGAGATCTGACCAGATACGAAATTCTGCAGGATCTTTTGGGGAGCAGAGCTTGTTAACCAGAGATGAAAAACTGTACTGCAAATAGGATGCTGTGTGTCTTTTCTATTGAATGCCATGAATTGCTTAGCTTAGGTGGTGTATGGACTTTAACAAAATCAGATGTCCAATATTTGCTGACTACTGCCTTTCAGTATGCAGAAGGCTGTCCATGCTTTTAGTTAGTTTCAAGCCAAAGGAGTTAAAGCTCCGGTTGCTGCAAACAGGGCTTGTTTGATGTATGCTTTTGCCCCAGTTAATGCCTGCTAATGTCATACTTTTTAAACTGCATACAGACAAACCCTGAGTGCTTGCAGGAAACCAGAGCGTTGAGTTGCTCCCTGTGGCTTTGACTCTGAAGGCCATCTGAGGATTTGGTGAAAGGACCTGGAATAACATCATCTAGGGCAGGCCTATCTGCTTGGCTGAAAAGCAGATGAGAAAGTCAGGCCTGTTTCAGTAAGCATCACTTTGCTTTCTGAGGTCTGCATTACCATGAAGATTGTTAAGGAGTTTGCAAGCAATGGGTCTAAGTAAGCTGGATTTTGAGAGGAGTTTTTGCGTTACATCCTACTTTGGTTCTTATTGTCCAGAGCATCAATCTTCACTCAGATTTGGCAACAAATGTGCTGAAAGGGATTGGCTTAGTTTTCTGATCCACAAGATAATTCCTTTCCCTTACCAGTTACACAGGCAGGAAATTTTAGAAAGAAAGGGAAAAGCTGCTTAAGTTGACACTGAGGAGGGCGGGGGCAGAGAATAGAATCATATTCTGCATTCCTGACTTGCATACTGCTATGCCTATATGGCTATTTTAATGCCTATAGGAAAGGAGTGAACAGAGCAGTCAGGTACTTGGGACATGAAAATGAAGTTGGTAGGCACATTTTCCCCCTAATTGTTAGAGAAGGATGAAAACCCTGAGAAATTAATGGTAATGCATTACTGACATAATTGGTTTTGTTAAAATGTATTTGCAGATAATTCATTGACTCCAAACTGAGAAAAGTGAGAAAAGTACAGAATTTTTTTTTCTTTAAGAAACATTAAAAAAAATATAACCAAAACAGATGCAGCAAAACAACAACAAAAACTCAACAGCATTCTGCCACTTCCTCTAAGAGGTCAAAGATAACGTTTCAATGTCACTATTTTCTATTCCCCTTTTGCCACTGCTCTGGAAGAAGAATTAGATTTCTACTTTATGGTTATGACCTTCTTGGAAATAAATTCAGTCATTGAAAGCAGCAACCTATTAAAGTATATTTGTTTTCCACACATTGCAGAACTCTTAAATTCCAGTAGGATAGTTTTCCATAAAATATTCTTTCCATCATTGCATGTATTCAGATTATAACTGAGGATTATTTTACTGCTGTGTGATCTTGTGGAGGTGCTAGCTGAGCACATTTTGTCCACTTTTTTTTTTTTTAATGGTGTAGTTCTATAGAGCTATGCCTTCAGTGTTCACTGATAAATGAAAGCAAATATCTGTTAAAATCCAGTGAGATGTTTTTCCATGGAGAACTTGGTTTTGAATGTAATTTCTTTTTCTCTCTTACAACTGTAAAAATAGTAAAAGACACCTTTCGTATGACAAGATAACAAAGACATAATCTTTGTGAAAGGGGAAAAAAGCCCACCACACCCCAACTATTGAAATCTTTCATATTTTTGTGGCTTTTCTCAATTTCATTTTAAATATGCACTTGTTTTAAGAAAGCCTTTTCTCAGACACTGTGGGCAAAACCTAGTCTTGCTTAGTCTGGAAGAAATCTAGTCAAAATTTTGCTTGGCTTTGATTTTATTACACTTAAGCCTATGGCCCAGTTCTGCAAACAGCATTTGAGAATGTAACTTCTATTTATGACTTCTTAAGGTAGGAAAGATGAACATTTGGAAACACACTTGAAAGACCATGTAAATAATAAAAAAATATATAATAACTCATCAAATGATTGCAAGGAACAAGTGTAGGAAATGAGTGTTGTGGGCACTCAGACAAGCTTTGCAAATTTAGCTATTCCCTCCTCTTGGGGTTATTGACCTCATCCCAACTGTGTGAGTAACCCAGTCCAGTTGCTAATTCGGCATGGGAGCTTGCACAAGGACCCTGGACTCTGAACAGCAGTGGCTGAGGTGCCTGCCCAAATACTCTTCTGCTGACTTCTATGAAGGCAAAAAGAAGGACCAAGAGGAGTGACAATACTTGAAGCTTCAACAAATCTCTGTTGGGGGAATGTGAGCCAAAGCCCCAACTTCCCTTCTGTCGCAGGGATCTAAGAACATGGTCACTTACAATAGCAACCAGTGAATCCTGACTGCTTTGCAAAATGCAGAAACATAATCTTCAGTACTTTAGATTACAGAGATGTTTCTCCTGTCTGTCTTAATTTCTCCAAAGAAAGTCTATTCAGTTACATGTCAAGAAAATGACAGTGATCATTAACAAAAGCCACGCATTTACAGAGTAGATGGATGCTGAAACCATGACAAGTAAGCTTTCTGGGCCAGAGGTCACTTTATTTTTGCTTCTATACACAATGCTTTGTGCAAAAGGGTTTCTGAGTAGAAAGCCCAG